TATAGTAAGTAGCTTTTACTTCTAAATTGCTTAAATTTTTTTAAAATTTAGGCAGACTACTTTTTTTACTTTTATAATATACTTTAGATACTAGACTTTGTATATAGCAAAGACGCATTTTTTTAAATTTAAATTTAATTTAGCTTTTTTAAGTAGTATAAAAATTTAGTAGACTTTTTTTATATAGTTTTTGCAAGTACTTTTTAAATATATTAGAATATTATTTAAATATACTATAGTATAATCCCCTAATATTTCTTAGAACGCTCTATTAATATATTATTAAAAAAAAGCAAGCGCTTTAATTAGGCTTATTAAGTATACTAACTACTTATAAAAGCTAAATTAGGTTTAGAACGTAGTTAAGTATTTATTTTTTTTAGCTACTTATAAATAATAAAATACTAAGCAGATATCTACTTTTGTAAACTACCTAGCATTAAATAATATTTAAAAAATTTTTTTAATAAAAAGCAAAAAGTACTAATCTGCTTTTATAATTTTATTTAAGGCCTAGTAGTTTATATAAAAGTGCTACCCCCCTAAAAGCTTATATATAAAAAAAACAGGTACCCCTACTAAAAAAAAGCTAGCTTAAATTTATTCTTTATTTATTAAATTTATAATTTATTTTTATAATTTTAGTAAATAATTTTAAAGCATACTGTATAAAAGTTCTTATAGTAAATATAAAGTATTACTTTTTTTAGTTTACTATAAGTAAATATAATAGTTTAAGCATTTTTAATATAAAAGTAGCTTTTTTACTTTACTATTATTAAATAAGTTTTAAAACTCCTTTAGCTCTTTTAGCAATTTTAATCTATTTTTTATTAATTTTTTTTCTAGCAGGGTATTGTTAGGGCTTTATTTTTAAAAAATAGCAATTAAATACTAAATTATTATTTTATAGAATTTGTTATTGCTGCTAGAATTTTTTTTTTTTTATTATAGCAAGGCTGCGTATATTAAGCCTAAAACTATCCTTATTTTTAAAAATATTTTTTAAAAATAGCTTTTTTTTATTACTATATATTTTGCGCTACGCACAACTAGCTTGTTTTAAGCTATATTTAGTATAGCTTTTTTCTAGCCTATCTATAATTTTTTAAAAATAAAGTTATGCCTTAAGCTAAGAATTATATATGCTACTAAATAAGACTGCTAACTATTTATATTATAGCCTAGTATAACTAGCTAGGTTATTCTTGCACTTAAAGAAGTTTTTATAGCCTAGTTTAAAAATTAAAGCAAAATATTAATAAAATTTATTCTAATTTACTTTGCTATTTCTTTATTTACAGTACTAAAATACTTATACTTTAAATTAACTAAAATATTTATAAACTTTACTTTATTAAAAAAAACTAGTATAAAAAATAAAAGTTTATTTATTTTTTACTAAATTTTTTAAACTTTTTTTATATTATTTTTTACTTTAGCCTGCTTTTCTGCCGTAGTATCCTTGCATTGCCTTTAGTCTAATTTTTAGCTAAAAATATTTAGTTTTTTTAATTTTTATTTTTAACTAGTAGTAATATTACTACTATAGCTTTAATAAATACTACGCGTAAAAATACTACGTTTATATAGTTTCTTGTAAAATACTTATTTTTTTTATAGTATATATATAGTCCTGCCTTGCGTTATTATTAAAAAACTTTATTTAATACTTAATTAAATTACTATAGTTATAATTTGCTTTTTAAAGCTACTAAGCTTTTTTATTTTTATAATTTTACTATTTTTATAGCGTAAACTAAAGTTATTTTAATATTTTTATTTTTATTACGCTTTGCTTTTAGTATAGGCTAGTAGTATAAATAAATTTTTTTTTTTATAGTTATAGTTTTAATATTTACTACAATTAATTTATAGGCCGCAATTATTATATAGTAGTTTACCTAAGTAACTCCTTAGTGCAGAGTAATAGTCTAAAATATATAGTTTAAGTAGCGCTAGAGCTTATAAAATTTTTATTTAAAGTCCTATTTAGCCTTACTACTTTAGGCTAAAAGCTGCTTAAAGCAGACAAAAAATTCTAAAAAAGTTTTTTTATTACTTTACTAAAAGTTTTCTAGTTTAGCCTGCGCCTGCTCCCTCCTATAATTATTTTTATAGTAGAAGTTTAAGTATTAAAAAAAGGCAATTAAGTTCTATTATTCTTTCTGCTCTTTAGTTTTGTAGTAAGAGCTAACTTTTTTTTAAATACTTACTTTTAATTAATTTTATATAAAAGTAAATATATTTTTCTTATTTTTTATAAAAGCCGCATTAGTTCTTAATTTATACTTAATTATAATTTTCTAGGCCTAAAAGTATACTTTATATCTTAAAAATAGCTTTTTTATTAAAAAAAGCTTATAGTAAATAATAAAAAAGTTTAGCTAAAGTATAAGCGTAATAAGTAAAATAGGCGCACTTAGTTAAGAATTAACTTAAAGTTCTAGTAATACTAAAGTAAGTACTAGTTCTGCTTTTATAAATTTTAGCTGCAATAAGCAGTTGCTTTTAAATATTTTAGCAAAGCTTTAAAGCTTATTTTGTATATTTTTATTCTATTAATATAGTATTACTATTGCTGCTATATTTTTTTATTGTCCTTTTTTAAAAGTCTGCAAGAAGGCTCTAATTAAGCTTAAATTATTTTTATTATTAAGCTTTATTTTGTCTATTAAATGTAAATAATAAAAAAAAAGTATATAAATATTATAAACTAGCTTTAAAATTATTCTATTTTAAATATAAATAATAGTATTATATACTTTAAAGAAGTACAGAAATTTTTAACTACTTATATAAAGGTTTATTGCTAAGGTTTGCTAAAGTCCTTAGTCCGCAAATGCTAGGGCTTAGGCTAAAGCCTAAGCTATAATATTTATTACTATTTACTATTAAAAATAATTTTTAGAAATTAAAAATACTAAGCAATATTTTAAAATTTAAGTTTTAGTTAATGCTAGTTAAAATAAAGATTTAAAAGCACTTAAATAGTTTTTTTATTTTAATAATTAAAGCTTTTAAAAAAATTTTAAAAAGTGCAGCTATAGTTATGTATAAACTTATATTAGTATAAAAAAAAATTGCTAAGCTTTAAGCAGCTAATAAAGCTACTATATAATAAAAATTATATAAAAAAAAGTAAGTATAAAAAAAAAGAACTTTTATAATAAAAAATAGTTTTTAATTAATAATTTTAAAAAAGTTTAAAACGCGTAGTAATAAAAAAAAAGCAAAAAAGCAAGTATATACTAAAGCAGGTAAGCCTTTTTAAAAGCGCTATAAATGCTATAGTAAAGCTAGGTATAATATATAAATATACAAGCAAAAAATAAAAATAATTTTTAAATAAATTAGCTTATTATAATTTATTACTATAATTTTTTATAGTGCTGTACTATTGTGCATAGTACTAATTTTGGTAAAGTTTTAGCATTATAACTAACTTAACTGGGCAACTAATTCACTTGTGTAATACGTTAATATAAACTTTATTATAGTTTTTAAGTATTTTTAGTTTATTAATCTGCTACTAAAATTATTATTATTTTAATAGCATAATAGTAGCGTAAGACTAACAACAAGCGAGCCTTAGAGGGGTGGTAAATACCTTACTATCGGGGTGGTGCTTAACGTCTCCCTCTCCAGTGGCTCACAAGCGTAGCATCCCCAGGGAATGTACGGCAAATGCGACTCTGCAAGTAACAGTGACGGCCTTGATGGTGGCTACCAGGTGTCGTGTGCAGACGAGCCTGGGAGCATGAGCGGACTGGAGGGCATTCCACGCCAAAGTCTCTTCTCCTTTAGCCTTGGACAGCTTCAGACAGATGTCCCCTCCTACCCATGGCTCTGACGTACAAACGTCTCCGCATTTCTACGGCATGTAGCACAGCCAAGCAAACCCTACCGACTTGGCAAAGACGAATAAATCCACCTAGAAATAGCCGCACGTACGAGTTATGAAGCCGCTCACCCATTGCACGGCTCGTATTCGGATCATGATACCAGGCATAGGTTGCTCGCGTATTGTGGCGTTGGCTACCAGCCTGCTAACCAAGACCGCGCAGAGACAAGCACCCGGATAGATAGCGACCATGGCCTTGGCGCCTATATACAGGCCGCTCTAACCGTTACGTCTCCTGATTCGATCCAAGTCAGGGGTGTGTCCCGCGGGCGCTGGCTGGCACGTACGACACATTGCCACATCTCCTGGGTTCGATATATTGCGATGTTCAGCCTGTCGGTACCGCGAGTGTCAATGTATCGTTGGGGAAGAAGGAGAGATGTGCAACAAACTGGGGCCACGTAGAAAAGCAGACGTAACAGAAGTCCATGCTCCACAATTTAATCGCAACGACGCGCTATATTATGCGTACTATGGTAAGAGCTAGATGAGTCCTGCCTTGATTCTTGACATTGGTGAGGATAAAGAAACACCCGGCATCTTGAGCACTTCGTGGTCTTCCCGTCTTCACCATGAAACGAATCTAATCTGCCTATCTACTATTGTGCAATTTGTTGCCTGAGCGTACTGAACCACATATCACTGCGTGCTTTCGATGCATCCGAGCATTCTCAAGTGTCTGCTCCGTCTTTACTTCACATCACACTCACACCATCACACCCGCACTACTTGTGCTCTTCTGCATTTTGTTTCTTCCGCTCTTATCTGAAACACTGCCTGCCCGCCCGCCTGCTTGTAGCATATAGAGACTGCCTTATATACCTTTATTAGCGTTGCAAAGCGATTTAAATCTATAAAGACAATGGGTATCATAGCGAGAGTGAAGTTCATGGAACTGCGTTGGTGTTAGGTTTGTTAGGTTGAACAGTCGGCTACGAAGGATCTTGTGTCTTTCACTATAGCCCAAAATAGAAAAGAATACGGGCTCCTCCCAGGTCGGATCCGTAGCAGGAACACAGTTTGCGAGATACGGCCAACGCCAAGGTTCTTATCCTACTTGCTAGGCCCAAACGGGTGGGGTGAGGTGATTGGAAGGAGTTTCATGTGGGGATAGAAGGATCACGATCACTAATGCACTGTAACGCGTAGCCGAAGTTTAAGGGGCCCTTGTTTTCTGTTACAGAAGGGTGAGCACTAGTACACATAATTGGATTCATCACACTATGAAATGATACATCTAGCAAGTGAACAACGAAGTAAAGAGGTTGCCTGGTATTGGCGCCCGAGCTCACGAATGTCCACGACTCCTACAAATACTTATACAGAGTGAAACCCATCATCCAATGAATATAACTCCTGAATCACCACAAAAGCACAGCCAATATCATCCCAACGACATCAATTTTGTTGTTTTCTATGCGTGATCCCCATCACCCGTCGGGTCGTGGTGCATCTCGGTACCATGAAACGCATCTCCAAACGCCGAGTCATCCACTAGGTCCAACCCCAGGTTGTCGTCGTGGCCATAGTCCGCCAGTGCATCCCCAGCACTGTCCAGGTTGTCGAAGCTTCCAAAGTCGGCAGTGTCGAACATGCTACCTACCTCAGCCTCAACGGTGGATGAGGGCAAGGTCCCCGATTCACCTGCAGCATCATTTCTCGTAGTAGGCTGTTGAGGATTGTCGGTGGATCGTGATGTATCGCCTGATTGCTCACCCACCATGACCCACTCATCTCCCTTATCTCCCGCGCCCGTCATGCCTGACATCTCCACATCGAGATCTAAGAGGTCATCTCCTACATCTACATCGAGATTTGTGTCCCCTTGATCGAATGTTGAAGCCTGATTGGTATTGCCGGTAGGTAAGTTGGGTGTGCCAGTAGCGGACTGCGACTGACTAGGAGGTTGCGACAGCCGAGGAAGTGAGATGTTGCCAACGGGAGTTCCTGAGAGTGATCCAGACCCGTACTGATCAAGCAAGCTTGCAGCAGAGTTCTCTTCCAATGTCCCATCATTGTTCGTACCGTTTGAGGCGCCGTTTGTATTTTGTTGACCACCATCTCCGTTGACTTGGGTCTTCGGAGGGGAGGGTTGTTGCGCCTCAATGAATCCACCCTTGTCCACACAAACGACGGATTTCTGAGATTCAAATGTAACTCCTAACGACTTCTCCAGATCTTGCACGACTTCTTCTGCGGGATCGGCACCGTCAGCATCGCTATCCGTGGAGCGTGATAGATCTCGTAGGCGTCTTTCAGCCTTGATATACGTCCGCGTCCGCTTCAATTGCGCCATTTTTCGCGCGTGTTCCGCCTTCATCTTGTCGATCTCAGCTTGTTCTTTTGTAGTGTATTCTGAGACTCGTTTCTCGAAATCCTTGAGTTGCTCAGGGTCAAGCTTGTAGTAGTTCTTTATCTGATAACTGTCCTTCGCGGCTTCTGGGTTCTCCGCCCCTGAGACATCCAAGATACCTGCGGTAAGCGGGGCAAGCTCGCCCATAAGACCTAGGCCAAGGTCAACAGGCGCAATCTTCCCAACAGCATACGGCGAGGAAAAGACCTCTTCCATCCACTCGTGGTGTTGCTTGTACCTTGACAGGCTGATCTCGCGAGGCGTCAAAAAGTCAAAGGCATCCTGGGTAGCGTTCTCCTCCTCTTCAAGTGAAGTGTCCGGTACTATCGCACCTGGCATGGGCTGACGAGCTTGGGGTTGAGTTGGCAGTCGCGGACGTTTAGCTGGCGGAGGCTGCGCAGTATACGGGCGTCCCGGCTGCATTGGGTTATAGTAGGGTTGTTGGCCTCTCATGGCTTGTTGCCCAAATTCAACCTTGGGCCAATTGGGCTGGTCAGCAAGCATGAACTCTTTACGCATCAGCGGCCCGGCAGCTTGGAGCTGAGCGCGCATCTGTAGCTGCGCATGTACCTCGCGGGGGATTGGTATCTGGCCAGCTGGTATTCTGTGTTGCGCTTCTGCTGGCCTGTAATGCACTAGCCAAAGATTGGGATCGGTTGTGCCAGGCCCTGCTGCGATTCTGTAGCGGAAGCGGGCATGCAGTGCGAAGGGTTCATGCGGGTAGTTATAGCCGCTGTTGTGGACAAGGACTTGAAGAGTCTACGTGCGTTAGATAGGCTGACAGGAAGGGCAGCGTGGAGTGGAGAACTGGCGTACATAGCCTCGCACGTTCATATCATATGCGGTCTCGGCATCCGCCCAGATCATTCCATCAGAGGCGAAGTGCGTCTGCATGCGCGGCGGCTGCCATGTGAGGATAACGGTGCCATCTTGAGGAGGGGATGCGAAGTAGGTCCAGGCGACGGGGGACGTGTCGCGCACTATCTGCGGGCCTTTGATGAGGTATTCGAGCGCTTGAGCAGCCTGGAGACTCGGTAGGGTAGGGAAGCGATAGGAGGATATCAGGTGGACGTGGGCGAGCTGTGCAAGTTAGTTAGGGAAACACCAGCGAGGTACTGGCCACACTCACGAGGTGGTTCGGCACCTGCGCACTGGGGTCCGAGTTGTTGTATGCTTGATTCATGCCGTACATGATGAACGATTCAATGCGACAATGGTGCCGCGGGGTTCAAGCCTTGCAGACGGGTGAAGGGGCGGGCGCGAAAGCTGGGGTTGATGAATGTACAATCATTTGGCGCGTTCAGCAGCGCGACTACCACGCCAAGCATTCGTGAACATCGCTGACTAAGCACTGCATACATACAACCACGGCCACTCCTATTTTGTATCGACTAATACCATGCATACTTTTATTAGAGTATGTTATTGCTTATTCTTCGTGAAAGACGGTGGGAGGCTGTTTCTGTTTCATCTTCCAAGAGAAATGCGGGTGTTTGGCATGGTAAAAAACAGACGTACATGTATTGCATGGCGTGCATTATCAATATCGTAAGAAATCTATCCAGAGCGAGTGGTCGACAATACATACGCCATAGGGTATCAAAGAAACCGATCCTACCAAAGTTGCCAAGAAGCCCAACATATCCTTCTGAGCGCGAGTGCGTATAAACAAGTCGAAACTGCGGAGTAGAGAAAAAAAAATACAGATACAGAGAAGAACGGTCATGAAACAACAATTTGGAGTCGCCGACCTTTTCCCATCACATATGATAAGCCGTCGTGCCTCCCTCGCACTTACATGTTCTCAATGACGTTCGAATTGATGGCGCTCTGGAAGCCATGGTTGTTTCCACCATACTCGTTTGCCGCATCACTCTGCAAACCGAGGGTATTATTGCTGGCACCGTGCGAACTTGGGCCCTCCCCATATGCATCGGCCTGTGCAAGTGCACTCTGCACAGTCTGGTTCTGCGCCGGTAAGAAAATGACCTTCGAGTTTGCAGATTTAGCCATAGCTTGCATAGCTTCGAGATATCGGATCTGCATGGCGGGAGCTGAGCTTAATATATCCGCTGCTACCCTCATAACTTGGCGATGTGTTAGTGTCTGTTATGAGCAAAGGAGTGAATTGATATGGTTGGGGGCTGTCGTGGGCAACAAGGTGGTGGGTTGAACTTACGTTTGGCCGACTCAACCTCAGCACGTGCGGCAATGACCTTGGCTTCTCCCGTTCGCTTGGCCTGCGCAGCCATGGAAAGCGAGTCTTGAAGGTCTTGGCTGAAGATGATGTCTTTGACTAGCATAGACTCGACTTCAACACCCCAGCCCAAGGCCGTCTCTTCGATGATTTCGCGGATAGATTGGGCGATTTCCTCGCGGCGCTCGATTACGTCTTGGAGCACGCGGGCACCGACAACATGGCGGAGCGTGGTTTGCGTTCGCTCCACTAGGGCCTGGCGAATATTGCTGATACTAAATGCGGCCTTGTGTGGCGATGTGATGCGGTAGTAGATGACCGAGGTAAGCTGGAGAGAGACATTGTCCTTGGTCATGCAGATCTGCTTGGGCACTTCGACAATCTGGATCTTGATGTCGACTTGGACGAGATGCTCGGAGAGCGGGTTGACGTAAACGAGACCTGGGTCGACGGCGCGGGCGAAGCGACCGAACTTGGTGACCAACCCCACGTTTCCTTGGTTTACGGGCTTATATGGGTTCGGGCAGACGATGCAGCATGGAATCGCACCAGCAGTACCAATGCAGCTTCCAAGTGTGTTGATCTAGATGGCTGTTAGCACGACGTAGGTAGTGTGAAAAGCGTTGGGAAGCTTACCATGGATCCATACCAGCCGTTGGTATCAGCATCGGCGTCGTCGGGCTGGATAATCCTCGCATAGCTCGGCTGCAAGTCCTCTCGTCGTGGTGGTTGGACTTTGATAATCGGTTCGTTCAGGCGACTCGCGCCCGCGCCATTGAGTGGTGCCTTGCCGTTGATGTCACTCATAGTTGCTGATGTATTTTTATGTTCAATACTCGTATTATCGTATAGGATGGGTCGTGAAGAAGAAGCAGTAGACCCAGCGATGGTGTGAGAGTCGTGGATATGTGATGCGACCATTGTTTGGTTGGAGTCGCAGAGAGGTTTATATGCCCTACGAAACGAGACGGATGCGGAGCGGGGTGAGCTACCCCATCCCTGTGCCTGCCTTGCGCTAGTCACGAGCACTTGGCCACATCTTGGGGCAGTGCTTGGGATCTCACGGTGGGGACCTTTGAGGATAACGCAATGATGAGAAGAAGGAGGGCGCTTCTGTGTAGCTTGTTTTTTATCGCGCAATGAAGAGTAGTGTTGCGCGACTCAGGCTCCGTCTTCGAGAGGTGCATCTTGAAACCTTTTTGCTGTAACCAAACCTCAAAGACCTCATCATGTCCATCACGTGAGATCGGCAATAGCAGACCACACCAAGGCCTCCCACCTTACAAGCCGGCTAAGACGGGTGCCGTACGCTGCCCCAGACTCAATCCGTTGTTGGCCGGTGAACTCGTGGCGTATTCGAGGCAGAATCGATACGAGAACTGACCATACAGACCGCCAACACAATATGCCCGACGTCAACGATTTGTCTTTCAGATAGTCCACCAACTCGCCGAAGATCACGATCACGCGCCTTGTCCTTGGGCAAGGGTCTGCCCGACCGCTATGGGCCTAGCATTGTGGCGAGTGCGGCTGCGGTAAGGGTCATAGAAGTCGCACGGATACACCTTTCGTAAGGCTGATGCGAGCCGCCTTGTTATTTCCGATGCAAGCGCTCAGGCACAGAACATGCTAAGTGTTGGTGGAGGCAGGAGCATTTGCTACTGTCATTGAAGACCCTTATTAGCTGGTCGAAGGCTCCCCTTGACCTTCACAGCCTGTCCGTAGTTGAACGCCTGATGCGCGCGCGCAGCAATAGTGTTACGAAGGCGGTACCCAAGAGGAACTACTACTTCTTGGTACTTCGGTCTGCAGTGATATGACCCTTCTTGCTCCTCACGTGCGTCTATAGATTAACATAACCCCTCATGCATGGTTCTTAACTCGCATTCGACGTATCCGGTATCTCCACGATGACCGGTCAAGCGTCATTTCCCCCCTTCTTGGAAAATGCACTGCCCCTTCAGGCCTTTCGAGCCGGGCAATATCATCGTGAAAATCTGACTCGATAACGCTTTGGTAGGGTCCTGCTCCCAAAGTGCCTCATAGCAGCGCGTACACTCTTAGTGTCTAACGCCTAACGCCCATTTTGGTGCCCTGTGCGCTGCCATGTCTGCTGCGCGGCGGCACAGTCGTGATTACACAGCCTGGTCCAACAACCCAACTACAAGCGCGCCGCATCGTGCTGTTAATATACCACACGTGGCTTTAGAAAATTTAGTGCCCCGGGGTCCATTTTTATCGACCATATTATAGACCTCGACATGTGACGAGTCTAGTAGTACTACAGGGGAACTTGAAACCATCCAGGCTCTCCTATAGCTGTCAAAACAGATGAAAAAAAAGGGTGATATAATTCCGTAAATGGTATACATGTTTCCGACTCCTGCCTGGAATCCTTTTCCACTACATTCTCATCGTCTCCCCATCCCGCCCAGGCCCCTTCTCCCAAAACTCCAAACTTAATGCCGCAAGAAAGCACGGGATCTCTTTCCTCCCCTCAACCCAGTACACAATCTGATCCCTGATTTCGCCCGCGAACTCGCTCTGCTCGCCACCACTGACTTTCATCGTACCATGTTCGCCATCGAATATAATGCTATTCTCTCCATCCTCATCAGCCGGCTTGAACATGGACGTCACTTTAACGCGCCCGTTGGGCATGAAGTCTAGTTTCCAGCCGAGAATGGAAGCCACGGCTTCTCGGAACTCGAGGGATTTGGCGGTCCAAATCTGTTTGAGGCGGGAGATCTTCTTCGTGCTCGACGCGAGCTGGAATTTCATCTCTTCTAGTTCATCATTTGCGGCGTCTAATGTTGCTAACGGTACTGTCGAGGGAGGTGTCTGTTGGTTCTCAAGCTGAGCAAGGAGTTGCGCGTTGGCGTCACGCAGACTGCGGACGGTGCTCAGTTTGAGGGCTTCGGCGTCGGCTGTTGGATTGGATTTCAGCTCTAGTACTCTTGTCCGCGACGTTTCTTTGAGTTTCTTTAGCTGTGAGTGCTGCGCTTTGTATTCCGCTTCGACAAGCTTCATCTTCTTCTGCAAGGCATTGAGGTCTTCTTGGAGTTGGCGATTCTTACGGCGCAGCTCGCCAACACGCTCGTCATTGTCTTCGGTGTCGAGAGACCGTTTCTGGCCTGCTGCAATGGGAGCGGGCTTCTCGGCGCTATTGAACTCCTTTTGTAAGGCGTCCAGCTCCTTGCGATATTGGTCGACGAGGGTTTCGAGCTCTTCTATCCGCTCTGTCTTGGCTGCGTCGTATGTGTCAGACTGCATCTCGCGCTCCTCATCGTCGAAGGCTTTGACTTGCGCGCGTAGGAACTCGACCTCTTTCACCGCGAGCGCCTTCTGTCGTTCTAAACGGGCTCGGGCTTTGGACTCGCTGGCGTTGGGGGCGCCGTTAGTCCCCGAGGCTTTAAGTTGCTGTATCTCGGTCTGCAGTTTGGCCTTCTCCTCCTGCAGGGCTTGTATATTCGCTTCTTTGACTGTGAGCTCAGGTTTCATCTCGCCTAGCCTATTGAGCAGATCCGTTCTCTCAATTCGTTCCTGAATAAAGGCTCGTGCGAGATCTTCGGGTGTCTCAAACTGGATCTCGCCATGTCTATCTGCCTCAGCCTCAAGGTATGACGTCCAAGAATCACGCTCTTCTTCAAGAAACTGCTTCCTTAATTGTGCCTCTCCAAGCTGCCGTTGAACATCATCCATCATGCGCAGCTTTGTCTGAAGTGACCTCTTTTCCTCCTCCACCACTTCAATGGCCTTGTGCTGCTTCCGGTATTGCTTGAGCTCAGTATTTTGCTCCCTTGTCAATGTCTCCAACTTCTTGATGTGCGCAACCTGATCGGAAAGCTCCCGCTTGATAACTGCCAGTGTCTCCGCATCTCCAGTAATTGCTTTTAGTCGTAGTACTTCCGCCTCAAGCTGTCCGACTTCCTCCTCTTTTTGCCCCAATTTCTTCTGTGTTGACTGCAGCGTGTGAGCCTTGGACTGCAAATCCGTCTGTATCTCTTCCACGCTGTCCTTGAGCGTCTTATGCTCTGCCTGTAGCGTGTTGTACCTATGCTCATATTGCCTTTGCGCAGCCGCTAGGTCCTCCTTGATCTCATCGTACTCCTCCTGTAGTGACTGCGCCTTCTCTTGACTTTCCCTTAACCTTCTTTCCACAGCCTGGCGCTCATTTGCAGCGCGTGTCTGTGCCTCGGATGCGTCTTTTGCGAGGACATCGTACTTCTTTGCCATGAGGATGCTCGAAGCTTCGGCTTGTTGCGCTTTTCGAAAATCGCTATCGGCGCGATTTTGCGCATCGCGAATTTCTTGGGCATGTTCCAGCTTCATCATCTCCTTTTCTTGTTTCGCTGTCTCGAGCTCATATCGCAGAGTGTTGAGCTGTGCGCGGAGGTCTTCATTGATCGGATCAGAGGGCACGACCGTGTGTGGCGCATTCTGTGAGGTCCGTAAAGTCGTCCGAAAGGTTTCTCGCAAGGGTTCCCTTTTGGCAGGAGGAGGAGGCGTCTCCTCGTCGCCGGTGAAGAGGTTGAAGCTCGGTTGGTTCGCGTTTCGCATGGCCATTGTTAACGCTGGCCCCGGTTGTTTGTTGTTTACGAAGCGAGGCCGGAGAGTTGAACAATTGCTTCAAGTCGCAGTGGTGAATGAAGGCCTACGCCATATTACGATTGAATAATGGTCTCCGTTTTCCGAGAAACGACTGTGAAGAGGTGCGCAAGTGTGTTTCCGTTGTTTGATGAATGGTGTTGAAGGCTCAAAGAGCCGCCCGGACAAAGTTTAGCGCAACAGACCTAGCTGTCGCGAAGGCACGTGTTTGGTTGTCCTCAGTACATGTAATTGCGCCACGTTATGCTATTGTGAAAGTCTTGTAATTGTCTTCGAGTGAATCTTATTTCTTGTTACGGAAACAATGGCTTCCCAGTAATGCTAGTGATACAATGCGACTTTGCCCGACGTCCACCACATAGCTATTATGCTCCGTGCTGCTCTGCAACATCCACCCAAGCATTTGAGAATACGTCACTTTCACCATCTCTCCAGCCCCAAGCAACACAGTAGTGTTTTAGAAGTAACTCCAGTTCCTCCAGTTCGTCTAAGAATTCGAGCCCAGCAACGCGCTCTTTCTCCTCCTCGTTGACCCATTGTCGCCAAATGAAGTTCGTGTCCACAGCCATGGCGCCTTTCTTGAACCCGTAGCCTTGTAGTCGTGCACGTTGATCGCCGAGCTTGGGATACGCTGTTAGAGTATGTAGGTGAATGTTTCGCGTCTGGAGATTGGATATCATGGTTCTGCCGAAGGCATCCTGAGGTAGGATTGGCTCGTAAAGGATTAGCGAGGCAGACGTGGCCGGGTGCAGATAGTGCGTCAGAAGCGAGGAGATGATTGATTGCACTGTGGAGGGCTGTAGATACACAAGGCACATTTCCGACAGAATAAGGGTCGGTAAACTGGGATCAAGATTTGGTATCTCAGGTAGTGGGGTTTGGTCCGAGGAGGCAATCAAAGTCCGCAAGTCCAGCGCGTGGATATTGTACGTTTCTGAGTGATAAGACGTCGAGGTCGACGGTATATGTAGCAACTTGCGGTAGAGGACAGGCTGCTTTTGTATGGCAGCGATCTTCGCGACTGTGTTCGTTGGGAAATCGATCTCGTGGTATATCAGGCGGGAGTCAGGGTATAGATCGAGGAGACGGAAGAACCGAGTGTCGGTTCCAGCGCCGAGGGAGATGATTTGCTTTGCAGAATCCGGGGATGTGAGAAGGAACTTGGTGACTAGGAGATCGATTGCGGACGTGCGGACATATGTGCCTGGACATGTTAATGTTCTGTAGGGTAGAGTGAAGCTGTACACGGGTACCTCTGTTCAACAGAGGCAGCCTCCTTGCTGCCTGCTGTGTTGCGAATAACTTCGCATATGGATCATGAAGATAGCCAAGCTCTACACAGCTCACCCTGCTCCCCGCAGCGTCTTGATCAGTACTCTTGACTGCATTGTCTTTGGCTTGGTCTCTTTCTTCGCTAGAGCTTCCCAGTCCACCTCTTCCACGTCCCCTCCCTCTTGGTGCTCCTCCGCGACGGTTCCCAAGGAGTGTTTTGAGGTTTGGGATTTCGTTTGAGGAGGCCATGGACTCACATTGTTGATGCACACAGCGGACCTCAGCTTAGGCGGGGCGCTAGTCTGTGAAAGCGCTAGCACAATCATGCATGCCAAGAGCTATCTGCGAGGCTCTGGACAATTTCTTTGACGCGACGCTTCTCATTCAACCTGCGCGACGACGAATCCTGTGGCCGTTTCTTTACCCGTATTTTCAAAGGCATCGGCAGCGAACATGGAGGGCGAGAAATATCAACCGAGTTTGATCCGCATGTGGAGAGTCTGGCGCACAGCGAAGGAGATGATGAATGATAGGGTTTGTTGCGCCTACGCTCTTTGAATCATGAACGAGCGCGCTTACTCTGTTAAAGGGCTATCTGGTCATAGAGGACGACATGACTTTGTCGCTCGAGGATTTCGCGCAGAAATATGCGCGCGAGGATGGAGAACCAGAGTGTGTACCTTTGGCACCTCCCACCTGGTTATTGTACACTGACCTTTTTCCAGCCGCTCGCGCCTTAACTTCTCCTGTCAACCTTCCGAAGAAATGCTACTCAAATACACCCCGGCCCCTACCAAGAAAGAACCCAACCCAACACCTGAAATCGGCACAATATGGATCGAGTTCAACAGCGACGAGAACGTGGGCTTGAAACAACTTCGCGACTACATGGGTCATTTGCTAAATGGCTCCTTCTACTCCGGCATCATGGTCACTGTAAAGCCTATGACAGGCATGGCGATCCGACTCCTGCGAGGCGCTACGGGAATGAGCGACGGACCAAAGGGCGGCGTCGAGGTCTTTGTTGAGCAGGATTTGTTGGTCAACATTACGAAGCACGAGCTGGTGCCTAAGCATGTACTGCTGAGCGCCGAGGAGAAGGATCAGCTACTTCAGCGTTATCGACTGAAGCAGACACAATTGCCCAGAATCCAGTCTACGGATCCGGTCGCGAAATACTTGGGGCTGAGGAGAGGAGCGGTGGTCAAAATCATTCGAAAGTCCGAGACGGCGGGAAGATATGCGAGTTATCGATGGGTTATATGAGGTCGTACAGATTAGGAAATCTTCACGCTTGAGGAAGGGAACGAGGCAGCCCTGCAACAAAGAGAACGGGTTAGACGCGGCGGAGATTGATCGGAAGCTTCGAATTCGCTGTGTCTGAAATGCGAAGTCCAGGGCTGTACTTCATTTGGCAAGGCGTTTGGCGAACAGAAAGGTCTCTCGAGACATGCAATTGCGAAAAGCAGGCAGGGATTTGTAGAAGCTTGAATCCACATATATGTATACCAGTCACAAAGCGCTTTGATTCCACCTAAACCACTGTGTATATGTCTGAAGCTCGGAGCGTGGTATTTGTCACACATGCGTTCCTTTGCACTGATGTACCCCTCTACCTACGACTATGACGACCGAAAGGCTCGATTGTCCAAAACTGCTAACCCTAGCCCAACACTCACGCACTTCTGTTGACTCTCCTTCAGCAGGATATCCTTTGCGTCAGTAATGCTCGTATGAAGACATAATCGCACCCAAGATAGCGTCATATTCTAATATAATTCAAGTCAAGTTCGACGAGTTGTAGGTCGTGAATGTGTGTCACCATGCCACCCATACCCATGCCCATCAGCCTGATCCCGCACACACCTTTCGCCTGAGTACCACATAGTAACGACTAAATCTGCTCGGGCAAGTCTCTACACCTCAACCTGCCTGATACAGTATCTACTCATGAAACCTGTTGAAAACTGCGCTCCAGCATTTACCTGATCAGTAAAAAGTCGCAGGATCATGTCAAGCACACAACAACTACCTCTTTCCTCGATAGCAATAGCATATGCAGCATCGTATACCATTCAGCGAGCAATGCCCTATTCGAGACTGTGGCATTGCTGGATTGGGCCAAGTGACGATGCACACCGATTAGTCTGTGGGGACGAGGGGGTGGTGTACTCGATCGGTTAAAGGGGCCGCGCCGCTCATGGGGCGTTTTCTCATTTATTGAAATCCTGTGGGAGCAAACATGTATCGTTTAGGAGAAGAAAAAATGGGCCAGTACATGAGTATAGCATGCAGTAAGACGTAAGACGTAAGATCTCGGTGCTCCGTATGCTACATCTGTCGTCGGATAGATGATTACGTCGCTTTCTCCGGGAGCTGAACTTGGCGTGTGCTGCTTATCGCTTGCTTCGCTCCGAGAATCAAGATTAGCGTGTGCTGCTTATGGCAATGTTTATGTCTTTCTGTGTTAGTCCAGCCTCACTGTTAAAACCTGCTGTAACCTGCTATGTGTCTAACTTCACAGAACCAGAGATAGCTCAGCAGGTAACACTAAGGGCATAGGCGCTTTTGAAATATTCTTAAGGAAAGTCACATATCATTTACGTCGGTTTTAGGGGAGCTAGGGAATTAGTCGTTAGGGAGGAGGGATGGCAGATGCAGTTCGAGTTATGATAATGAATGATCGCGCTGTATTGGGTATTATGCTAGCTAAACAGAGCGCCACGATTCAAGCAAAAATGTTGTACAGATATAAGCATGGCGCAAATGTTTAGTAACCGGTACAACTCCTACCTTGGATAGCCCACAGTCTACCCAAAGAGCAAGACCCACAGTATGGTAATAGAGTGAAACCAGTCGTCGGAACCGGTGATAGTAATCTAGTCGTCTTCATTCTCAAACGCCTCAGAAAGACTAATCAAAGAAGTGAAGCTGTCGGGATTCTCCTTCACGTTCAGAAGCCGTCGCTTGGGCTCGTCAAGGAGCCATGAAGCAGGAACTGATGCCATCTGACGGGCATTGTTCTTGATCAACTTGGTTTTCTCTTTGTCCGTCGAACTCGCCTCAGGCAACTTGATTGCCGACCTCGACGCGGTGATGCCGTCGCTGCGCCTGTGGCGATGCTCGAATACGTCCACGTCAATGGTATGTAGCGCTAGGACATGATATATGTGAACCTTCTTCTTTTGTCCATATCGGCGACTGCGAGCAATGGCTTGCACCATGGCCGATTCATACTCATACCGGGTCTTGGCCAACAGAGGGGAGACGAAAATGACATGGTTCGCATTAACCAAATTCACACCAGCTGCAGATTCACTGCCCAGATCCAGGATAAGGACCTTTTTCCGCTCATGAGGATCCTCGTTGGTCTTGAAGTCCTCCATCATCTCTGCCGCAGATCTGCCGTAGCTAGGAGAATGGTAGGAGATGTTGTAGGACTTAAAGACGTTTTCAAGGATGCCGATCGTCTCCTCATTTGGTGCGAAGACGAGGCCTTGATCTTCTTTCGGAATTCGTTTGATGATGTGAGCAATGCCTTCAAGCTTTTCGCCAAATCTTCCCTCGGAAGTGTGCTTTACGGTAGATCCAAGACGAGAGACCTTGATCAAGTTGCGGCTTATGCAAATACTGCACATTGGACTCACGCAACAGTCCTCATTAAGCCGTGCATTGAGACAATCCTCACAGGCCGTGTGACCACAACATGGGACAAAGTAAAGATGCTCCAAGTTAGCCGTTCCTTTACATTCTGGAGCGCTACACGTGTGCAATTGATTCTCTGCGAGGTGCGACGATGGGTCAACGAAGCTTTTAATTGTGGAAATGAAGCGCTCCGACCTCATTCTCATGAGCAATTCGGTGGCAGTTAGACGGAGTTCTGACAGTAGTCTCTTGGTCTCTTGCTTGGCTTTCATGCTCGACAGAGGTGTCAGCTCGGGAAACCCTTTTGGGTTTGGGGTTTTCGCAGCTTTTGCGAGTAGACCGCGAACGCGTTGCCTGGTATCCTGGTCTCCAAGCCAGCTGGTTTTGGCATCCTGCTTAAAGCAGTCGTATAGTTCTGTAAGTTCTTCGTCTTTCTTTAACCCTTCAAAACCGGCCATAAGTTTGAACAGGGCCTTCTCTGTTTGGCGACGCTGGTCTGATCGTTTTTCCATCATTGTATCTAGGCCTGACTCCCCATCCGACGTCTCAAAAAGAAGAGCAGATTTCAGGAGAGCCTCTTCAGCTGTTGCCGAGTGGTTCAGGCTGGCAATCAACCTCTCTATTTTGTCCGAACTCGATCTGTTGTTTAGCCTTTTAATCTGCATGTTCTGCGACTTCAAATGCTGTGAAAGTTCCAAGTAAATGGCACGATGGGCATTGTCTAGTTCAATCGGTACAAGCTTCTCGGAGCAGGCAATGTGCTGGAGTTCTGCTTCGTTTTGTCGGACGAATAGGTCCAAGAACTCCTGTGCGCGCTGGTGGCGTGCTTGGTGCCACTCTCGAGACATGACATTAGTTTGTGAGAGGAAATCTTCGACCAGGGTCTGGTCGCTCTTGCGTATCCTCTCCAGCGAAGCGGAGACCATGCCGTCGCCCATGAAGTACCGACCTAACGTGATACCAAGATATGACGCAGCTTGAGCCACATCGGTGAAATTGGCTAATGCAGGCGTCCCCGAAAGAACCCAACGCTTGTGTGCGGCAATCCTCTTGACACTCACCGAAGCCAACATGTTACTAGTCTTATTGTCGTCATTGAGATAATGATACTCGTCAACAACTATCCTGTTGAACCGGAACATATGCATCAAAGGCACAGGATGGCTTTCGGCCGCAAGGCCTGATGTTTTTCGTTTGAGCAGAGTTCTGCTCTTCGTTTTCGAGCCGTTCGCGTTGCGTGAAGCTGTTTGAGCCGAATCAAACGATTGGTAGGCACTGCCGTGTTGAATTTTGATAGGCAGAGCCGCTTGAAAGTCCTCATGCTGCAACCGCTCCTTCAGTTTGTTCCGTGTACATTTTTGGAAGTCCTCGAAGTTAGTCTTTTGAAGTGCACCGAGCTGACCAGAAATCTCGTCGGCAACACGGCTAAACCATGCATCAAATGCACGACGATTCGTGGCAGTCGGCTCTGGCATACCAGTGAATCGTGCGAGAGACGAAATGTACTCTTCTGAAGCGAAAACATTCCAGGAGAAAATAATAACCCTACTCTCCTGTATCTCCTCGATTGTGAGACCACGTAGCCTAGCGAAGCTATCCACTAGTAGGATATCGTAGCTATTGTACGTCTCTTCGCCCAGAAATTTCGCCAACTCGGTCAGCCATTGCGATGCAATGTGCGGAGGGCAGACGATCAAGGTTGCAGCTGAGTCAATGAGGGCGGGCAGCCCTTCGGTATGATATTTGTTCTGGCGAAGAAGTGCATCGGGCGTGTGTCGCTCAAATTCGCTCTGGATAAGGCCTATGATTGTCACAGTCTTTCCAAACGAAGGATGATCCGCAAGCATGCCTCCGCGAACCGAAAGAGTTATCTGTGCCCGAGCTTCCACCCTCCAGCCTAAGTCGGGGTGAATTGCCTCTTCCTGTTCGGTTATCGCAATGTTCATTCCAAGTTCTTGTTTCGTCATCCATAATAGTGACCGTAGTTGTGCACCACGTAAATATTTTGGGGTGGAGCATAGTGTAGTCGGAGTGTCTTTTGTGTTGCTCAGTAGGCGAAATCGAGGGAAAGGCACATGTGGTAATGCTTCATGACCTGTGACAAGTCTCCATGAGGTGATCACAGACCCGAGTTGAGCGAGTCTGCCGTGGGCACGGTGGACCAAAGATGATATGTTGATGCCTACCTGAATTTGTATTCCGCGTAAACTGTTGACAGGCTGGATCTGAAAGATCGGTGGTCGTGTTTTCATGGCACGTTCGAACTTGGCTGCAGCCTTACGGTCTTCGTGCGGTGTAGCCATGCCCTTCTCATTGACATTCCAGAGTATGCGTGGATATGTGGGTGCGCAAGAGCACTGCTCAAAGGAGCTCGTACCAAAATGCTGCCACGAGAATGAGGGAAGACGTTTTGCTTGCTCAAAAGCCCAGGAGTAGTCAGCGAAGTCATTCACAGGAAGGCTTCCGGGTAACTGAACATTCAGAACTATGACCGATTGCGAGCAGTCTTCTTGCGAGTGTTTGAACTGGGTTTCTGAGAGCACACTAGCTTTCACTGGAGGACAAGCCGATTTCAATTTCAAAGTAGCAGGCATCCAAGCGCCCGGAAGCGTAGCTCTGACGCCGCACGGAACGTTGGTTTCAAGATCCCATGGTCGCCATGAAGGTTCCAAGTGGGCCATAGATATCCGAGTGTCCCCGGAGTACTTTCGGGTGCAATCGTGACTGAACACAAAGCTATCGTTGTCGGGTGAACCTATTGGGTCGGGGTCGAGGAACATATAAAGAGCAGGAGTAGTCGATCTCTTGTACAGACTGCCGCATGCTGTTCCACAGTGCGCCAAGAAGTCGTACTCTCCGACGAGAACTTTTGCCCACTTAGCATTGCTGTGGATCTTGATTGTTTTTGGGACGGTTTCTGCTTTATGTTTTACTAGGCCAAGCCGGCTTTTCCAGGAACTACTCCGCTCAGCTGAGCCACTCATCTGAAGCGTGCAGTGTTCGATGGAAGGCTTGAATAGCTGCCATTGGGCGTCCAGTAGCGATTCGGTAACATAGGCGCGAGCAACCGGGCCTTTGAGCAATTTGCGCAAAGAGCTATTACCGGGAACGTCTTGACTGCAAGTGACGAATAACAGCCACTGAATATCATGACCACCAATGATAAGTTCTAGGCGGGCCTGAGGAGAGTTGTATGTGGCTTTCCAAGTGTTATCTTGTCTCGACAAGTCGTGAAGGCAGAAGTACTGCGATTCGATATTAGCTTCTACGATTCGATCCACGAACGCCCGCACTGTCTGGTCCCTTGTCCCCGTCTCATGAACAAATTGCTCTATGTCAGGAAATGCGTCAAACTTTAGTCGCGCTGGTAACTTAGGTCGCCATTCGTTGATGAACTTGAATGGGGTTTGTGATCGGCCGCCCTTTGCATACGCGGTGCCGTATTCGTGTTTTGGATTACCAGCGCAGTCTCCACAGGCTGTGTGACCACAGGCTGAACATCTCTGCACCGACGCTTTGCATATGCTCTTATCCCCTTCGCAATTGCATAATCGCGCGCTCAGTACCGCGTCCTGCTTCAAGTCATGTAAGTTTAGCTGCCCCAACTCTTTTGGATGAAGGGTCATTTGCTTCATGGTATGAGTCGTGGATATGACCGCTCGATTCGTCTCCTTGGCGGTTAGCTGAGGGGCGGATACGCTCTTCGGTCGGAAAGATTTCCATCCGCTGATGACTAAAGGTTGAGGTACGAAGTTAGTATGTTTCGTATGTAGTTCGTATGAGATTTTTTTAACGTACTTGCTGAAATAAGAGATGCACCAATAACAGTCGTGGACATAGCATTTCCTGCCAAGTCTTGACATTCCCTTTGAGTTTCTCCGGCAAACAAAAGCTTCTCCATGGGCATGCCTTGCAACATGAGCAGCTGCTTGCCATTAAGCGATTGGTGGCGATTGGTGGTGAACATGACTCCGTCTGGTGAGATACATGAGGAAATACCTAGGCTCGCTTTGAACCGGTCGGCATTTTGGCTAACATCCCAGATGAACATCTTGTGCGTAGAGTCGGCGTCGTTTTGCGCAGCCTGGAGATGAGCGACTTCAATAGCGTCGTAAACTCTGGATGATTGCGAATAGTAGAATTTCCGATCCGCAAAGTCGGGGAGCCTACATTCAAGACGTTAGTTTAAATACAATCCCAGGATAGGGCGTTCTGCGCAAACGTACCGATTCGATCCACTCTCGCTCCATCCTGTGAGTGTCCTCGAATGGCCGAGTCCTCCTATAGTACGCATTTTATCGTATCTCAGCCTAGACAGCGCCCAATCTGACTCAGACGCTACAACGCTATGCACACTAGACTCCTGCATCATATCGCTGGAGAGAAACTCCTCGTATGTGATACTGCACTGTCGTTGGAGTCCCTTTATGAGCTCCTTCCATTCGCCCACGGCTTTGATGGCAGCGTTCTTGCCTAAGCGACTTCGCTCCACGGCTATCATATACATGCGCTCTCTTGTCTGAGGAAGGTAGTGTTGCTTGCTATCTCGATATACCCAGCCCGCTTCATACCCTATCTTCGCCCAGCGAGACACAACATCTTCCCAAGTTGATATCTTGGCCTTAACATTTTCTAGGAGAACGATGCCTGGGCGAAATCGGTTTACATATGTGTACACGGCACGCCACGTATCGCCAGATTCACCATTGCTGTCGAGATCTTTTCCATTGTTGTTCATTCTCGAGAGATCTTTGCACACAAAGCCAGCAATGAGAATGTCGATGCCGCTCGGAATTGAAACTTCAGCGCCATAGGCGGTGGTTGCAGTCGTGACACCCTCAGGAATGAACTCTCGGATATCTCTAAACAGTATATCTGGCTGAAAGTTTCGCTCGATGAATGCCTGTTTAAAAACTTCTATTTCCGCAGAAAAGTGGTGCTTGAAGTGGATCGGGGAATTTCCGGTCTGCTCGAGAGCTGCGTGACAATTTAGTTGCAAATCCTTATGAAGTTGAAATGAAGACCAACCTTTGGACAAGAGCTCTAGTGCTATAAGGGGTGATTCGGTGCCAGAGCACATGGTAGCAACATTAATAACTTGCCCTTTCAGATTCTTTAGAGCTTCGCACAGACCAAGCTCTACAGCTCTAGCGGTCATATCTGCGAAGACGTCGTTGATGTTATTGATGGGTGGAAGATTTAGGTCAATTCCCTTGCCCGCCGTCTTTTGTGATGATTTAGCAATCGTTACTGGCTTGCGCGGCTTCGCGGAGGTCTTGGTCGGCTCCTCCTCGATGAGATCACCCTCCTCGGACATGTTCTCTTCTAATGTGTCCGCATCACTAGCGGTCAATGCTTCATCCCCAGAACCCACCAGCTCCAAGTCTGAATCCGCTTCACTCTCGTCGTCGTCTTCAGGGGCAGCATATACGTCACTGTCGTCGTCTTCGTTTTGGGGCCTTTGCTCTAGTAGATCATCTTCTAAATCAACGTATGACACCCTTCCACGGCTGCGGCGTGGGCGCGTGGTAGACCTGGATGGAGGAGAACAATCGCGGCCATGTATAGCTAGTTTGATGGTCGTTTCCGCTGTAGATTCGTCGGATGCAGGAGGGGATGGGAGTGTATCGCAGTCTACTATTGCGATATTATGCTCGTACTCATCCTTGTCATTGTCTCTAGCTGGGCCTTCGAAGCAGCCTTTGCTGTCCGCATCTGAAGCTACCTCCGGGTAATGAGTCTTTCCTACAGAAATTGTCTCCGACGTTGTGTCCTCCTCAGATGATCTGACGAATCCTTCATCGAGACGGTCATAGGAATGAGTAGCACCTCGGTTGTTGCGGAGATTGGCCGCGCGATGTTCGTTGGTAAGCAGATCTTGTATATCGCGTTCCTTTCGCAAAACCTTGCTCGCGCTCCCGGTAACAAGTGTCCGCGCAGGCACCGTCGCAATACTCACCTCCGCATTGCCATCTAGCTCATAGTCCATGCTCCCGTCTTCAGGAAAGTCTGACTGCTCAATCTGCTCATTCGGCCCAGCAGCGGTCGTCTCGTCGTTCTGAACTAGACGGTTGCTGTTGCTGTTTCTCCTGCGCGGACGCAGGCTCTGGCGCTGGTCCATGGTTCTCTTTTTGGGCTGTCTGCATTTGTCGGGGGTTTCATTCCGCACACAAGTATCACATGGGCTCCCCCCGTTGCAGTTCTTGAAACCTCTTCGTGTACATTGCGGACAGCGTGCCGCTATTGAGGCTGCCTCCTCATCAGTGGGCATGCGGCATTTCCCCTTTTTATCCCTAATGCAGCGCGTGCAGCGGTCATCGTGCTCCGCTTTGAAGCACTCGTATGCAGCGTTGCCTCCTCGTGTACGGCAGTGATAGCAACAGTCGGGTGGTACAGTATTGTCAGACACTTCCGTCGAAGCTAGGGAAGGGATCAACGTTGGCTTGAGGGCTCGAGGAGTAGCTAAAGTTTCAAGTCTAATTAGTCATTGATTCTGTTGTAGAGTAGGGCCATGGACGTGGACAACATACTCTGACTACGCGTCGCGTCGCGCTCTCGATTTGACAAATTGCACTGGGACCGTGTATCGATAGTCTTCTCGGGTAGAACGACCTCATAAGTATCGCTGTCTAAGGCGGGTAATGCAATGTCCGATTGGCGCTTTCGCTTTCGCAGTAATGGTGCCATTGGACAACTGAACAATTCGTACACCAAAACGCAACAAGTGCAACGCACGACGGAAGGGTTAGTATTACAATGAGATATGAGACAATATGGAAAAGCCAAAAGATCGAAGTGCGGCAAGGCAAGCTAGGGTATTGGAGTGAGACGCGTCAAGTTGTGGTCGCGCAGGGGCCAGAAAACACGCTAAGGATCGTAAAAGGAAGTAACAGTGCGTCGGACTAATAACTGACAGGGCATGCATAGCCGAGGCGAGCGGTTGAGATACCATATAAAGTAAGGTGTGTTTCTAGCAGAGCGCTACCTGTCCGTATATGCACGCCCATCGAATGTACTTGGTGGTGCCGTTGAGGATCCTCCTCGACCCGTCTTTGATATAAATACCACTGCAGAGAGTCCACTCCAAGCCAATTGTACCAAACCTTTCACCAGCGAGCAACACGCATAATGTTCAACAGGGAACCGATTCCGGTCCACACAAACAATGCCTTCGAAGACCTTAGCGGTGTGTCGACTTCAGCCTTCAGCAATCCATATGATGCGTTGATATCAGTATGCGGAGACGACTTGGTGAGAATTTCTAGCTCGGCACATAACCCACACTGAGTGAGCAATGCAGGTGCAGATCCAGTCCAAGTATAACGTCCATCGGGCCACTAGAAACTCCCAGCAGAAAGCCAAGTTGCTCGATGCGAACTTTGCAGGCGTCAGCATCGACCCCATTTTGTCGAGACTGAGCGACCCGACGATTGAGCCAGGATACGTAGACCCTCGACATTGTCTGGTCCTCTGGGGGCGGCCCACGGAGAAGATCAAAGCCCTAATCAATCGAGTACAGCAAGACTTGTTGACAGTGGCACCGAGTGAGTATCAACTTCTCCGCCTGGAGCAGTAGGGGCTAAGTTGAAGCAGATCTCTGGATCATGCCCCAGGATTGCCTACACATTACGGCACTGGAAGTCACACATTCCAAGACAGCGGAAGAAATACAAAAGCTAGTCAATCAAATAAAAGACAACGTCTCAGCTATCACAGAGTACACCTACAACCACCGTACACGTCTCATCAAGCCGCTCATTGGTTACGACGCGTCAGCACTCGCGCTGAGCTTCGTACCCGCAGCTGGCGAAGCGCTTCGTTCGGGTCGGACCAGCGAGGACGACAAGTTCACCTACCACCATCTTCGTCGAGATCTCTTCGGCCTTTGCCGCGATGCAGGCGTCCAAGTCGACTCACGATATGTAGTACCCTCAAGTCATCTGACCATTGGCCGCTTCATCGATCCCAAGGATCTTGCGGATGGAAATGGCTCACCAGATCCGCAGAAGATGCAGGCGTTCATAGCGAAGATTGAGGAGATCAATGGCTGGCTCGAGAAAGAATTCTGGCCAGAGAATAATGGCGGGACGATACCCGATGGGGGCGAGTTCAATGTTGGCGAGGAGGAAGGCTTGATCTGCCGAATGGGAAGACTATGGTACGGAGGTGGGGAGGCAGTGCATCGAGGAAAGGGCTATTGAAAGCTCATCTGGTAGTGTGGTAGATATTGACCTCGGAACTTGTGACTGGAAGTACCAGTATAGACATTCGACACTAGACACTGAAGACATTTGAAACAACTTGCGATTGTCCAACGTCACAGCTGGTCGTTTTGGGGAGCTGCGGTCCGGGGCTGTATTATAGATGGATAAATCCTTCGGGTCAATTTTGAGCCCAGGTAACTCCAGGGCTCTGCCGTTGGTTGTCGTGGCGCATGGTCGTGTCTCGAGGGAGGCAACATGCGGAGCGGAGGTCGCCCTGCATAGCGCGATGACATGTGGCTTGGCCTAAGCTCAACTTCGAGCTCACAAGTGATTCAGAAACAGCTTCGAAACAGCAACAACCTCGCTTTGTCTTGGTGATTCTATATCACTGTCTGTCGAACAGCATTCAACAATAATTACGCTACATTCCACCTGATTAGATTCCTCGTAACGTGTCCAGAAGACGTCCACGACCGCAAAAGTACACTAGCGGGGTACCGGTACTGCTGCCTCCTCAGTGTGAATACGTGGCAGAAGCTTCTGTCCCTAATTAAACATTCCTCTCTGCGGACTACGGCCTGTCCACCAAACATGTTCAACCGAGACCGTCTTCCAGGTCTTCCTGGAAGCTCCCCGCGACCTCCGCAGCGCAACGACGGCTATGCTAGACCACCGCAACAGCAACAACCACCGCCGCAGCGATCGCCCGATACGAGAATGGGAGGTTACGACGATAGACAGCCACCACCAGGGGGTCGATTGCCTGCAAGAGGGCCACAGGGCGGGGGTGGAGGGTCTGCCAGACAGCTACGACCCATCAAGAGCCCTGGAGGCAACGTCTACGCCTTCGGCAATCTGTGCGTACCTCAGGATACTTGACAAAGCGCATGAAATCTGACAGTAGCTAGTGTCGCCGTCTCACCACAAGACTTCCCACCCACACCCGATGGGTCCGACATCTACATACTCCTGAACGGCAACTACGTCCTCTCCGCACGGCCTACCCAAGGTTGTCAGCCAGGCGAGATCGGTCTCACAGACGCACAGCGAACATGGGCGGGCATCTCGCTTGGCCCCCAGGATATTGTCACGGTACAGCCATACGATGCGTTCAGCCAAAGTGGCGGGCAGTCGTATTTAGGTGCGGTGGAGGTGGAAGTCGGATTCGCCGCCAGAAAAACGACGGACGCGCCGTACGACCAGGATGAGCTAGCGACACAATTCAAGAAGAACTTTGAGAATCAGCTCCTCGCGCCAGGCCAACAGCTTCTCTTGGACGTCAAAAACATACCACTGAGGATGTCAATCAGGACCGTACAGCTAGTGGACCTTTCTATGGAAAAGTCAGACACTTCTGCGCCTCCTCAAACCGACCCACGAGCGCGAGGTATCCTCACGCGACATACACAGATTGACTTCTTCAAGGATGCTCGGACAGACATCAAGTTAAAATCGTCTAACAGGCGGCCTGCTGCAAATTCGATCATCCAACCTGGGTTCAAGTTCGAAGATATGGGCATTGGTGGCCTGGACAACGAGTTTAGCGCGATTTTTCGAAGAGCATTTGCTTCACGTATCTTTCCCCCGGGCCTGGTGGAGAAGCTGGGTATTCAACACGTTCGTGGTATACTTTTATACGGCCCTCCAGGGACTGGAAAGACTTTGATCGCGCGCCAGATTGGCAAGATGCTGAACGCTAGAGAACCCAAGGTCATCAATGGGCCTGAAGTATTGAACAAGTATGTTGGTCAGTCGGAAGAGAACATCCGAAAGCTCTTCGCAGACGCTGAGAAGGAATACAAAGAGAAGGGCGATGAGAGTGGTCTTCATATCATCATCTTCGACGAACTTGATGCCGTCTGCAAACAGAGAGGATCTGGCGCAGGTGGTGGCACTGGCGTGGGTGACAGTGTAGTCAACCAGCTTCTATCCAAATTGGACGGTGTGGACCAGCTGAACAACATTTTGCTCATCGGAATGACCAATCGAATGGATATGATTGATGAGGCGCTGTTGCGTGCTGGACGTCTCGAGGTGCACATGGAGATCTCTCTTCCTGACGAGTCAGGCCGAGCCCAGATCCTCAAGATCCACACCACCAAGATGCGCAAGAATGATGTTCTCGAAACGGACGTCAACGTCGAAGAGCTTGCTAAGCTTACGAAGAACTTTTCGGGGGCTGAACTTAGTGGTCTGGTCAAGGCAGCATCGTCATATGCTTTCAGCCGCCACATCAAGGTCGGTACAATGGCAGCCATCAACCCGGATGTCGAGAATATGAAAGTCAACCGGCAGGATTTTATGAGTGCTCTTGAAGAGGTAAAGCCGCTTTTTGGTGTTGCCGAGGAGGAACTGGGGAAGCGCTTACTACGCGGCATTGTCCACTTCTCGCCGTTTATCAACGACATTCTCGAGGAAGGCCGTCTCTATATCAACCAGGTTAGGAAGCCAGACTCGACGCCGATCCTTTCTGTTGCGTTGCATGGCCCGCCCGGCAGCGGTAAAACTGCGTTAGCAGCAAAAATGGCCATTGACTCGGGCTACCCGTTCATCAAGCTGATCTCACCTGAGGACATGGTTGGGTTTAGCGAAATGCAGAAGGTTCAGCAGCTCGACAAGACGTTCCGAGACGCGTACAAGAGCCCTCTTAGCGTCATCGTCATCGACAACATCGAGATGCTGGTTGATTGGGTACCGATTGGCCCTCGTTTCAGCAACAGCGTATTGGTCGCGTTGAAGGTTCTACTCGAGAAGCAACCGCCAAAGGTCAGTCTACATATCTTTAGCTCGAACCGCATTCTCGGACTACGACCTGGTTGCAATTCTAGATTTCGAAGCTGACGTGTACTAGGATCGCCGCCTGCTAATTTTCGCAACCACGACGGAGCGCTCTGTACTCACGCAGCTGGATCTTTTCAGCCGCTTCGACGCCGAGATTGCAGTACCAAACGTCAACACACAGGCCGAGCTCGCACACATCCTTCGGGAATCCGGGGCCTTCTCAGACAGTGACCAGCAACGTGCTATCGGCGAGATTCAGGAAATTACCGGTAGCGCAGAGGTAGGGGTCGGGATCAAGAAGATCTTGACCGGCATCGAGACGGCGAAGCAGGATCAGGACGTACCTGGCCGGTTTGCTAGAGTCATGTCGCGGGCTATTGCAGCGAACAGGGGCCTGCATACGTAAGGGCACAGCATCGGAGAAGTGGGCATGGAAAAGTGGGCCAAGGTAAGAGGTGCGTAGATGGACGGGATTGAAGCATGTTCAACATTCTTTCCGGGCCACACGCTTACCGACCTATGGAAGATGAGCAAGAGGGCAGCAAGACATGTGTACTAAAAGCATAGCGCCATCAGCCCTGTGGAGCTCGTTCGGCGCATAGTTTCTACGTAGGGTAGGCCCAATAGACTGTTCTGGCTTCCCATTCGGAGTAGACTTGGAATCTGGCTGACGCCTCCAGCTCGGGCGCTTTGTACAACGGCGCTTCCAGTAGCCTACCACTCCCACGCGCTTTTCGCATGGCTGCTCCTGACAGCTGTGACACCGGACCGGCTCGAGCAACGCCAGGTGAACGGCAATGCAACGGTGTTCTTACTGTACATGCTCGTTAGTTCTTACGTGCTTGCCGTGGCGTCGGAACAGCCTTCTGTTGGGATCCTGTGTTTCCTGAAGGACCACAAAGCATGGGAGATGGGTGTAGCCAACTGAGATGGAATCGCACGACACTAACTAGACGACTCGGTGTAGATAGTACAAGCAAGGCCAGTGTCAGAGGTTGAATCGCAGTCATGTCAGGAGATTGCGTGCATGGAAGAAGTGATCACATGGAGAAAGGTCGAGCTAGAGCAGCTCCTTCACCGCCACGCACTTCTGCAACTATGGTTGTATGCGTGGGTGTAATTGGGGACGTCTAGGTACGCCAGTGAATGTGGTGCGAGGTTACGCAGGTAGGCATCCAGACGCATGCCAAGTAGACTTCGCCAACACAGCCAATTGATTCCCCATCTACCCTGCCCCCAGAGGGCTGCCCGTGAGCATGACGCACTGGGGCCCATGGAGGGGCAGGAGCTGGCGGGGCGCTCGCCGGACCGAAACATTTCTCGACGACCCCCCGTCCACCATCATCATCATCATCACCACCACCACCACCACCCAGCAGACACGAGAAATATGTCGTCCTCTCTCACCCCCAAGCGCACTGCATGTCCCAGGTCCGGGGCCTTCTCCTCCCTCGGATACAAGCCGTGTCCGCCACCCCGTCTAATGCGCCCGGGCCAACTGCACTGCTCCTGTCTATGCCTAGGTCCCAGATTGCATGTTCAAAGGCGCGGGCGTGCTGTCGAGCCAACGCATCAACTTGACAACACTTAGCATGTCCGTCAGGCAGACTACCCATGCAGCTGCAGAAGCACCCTCGCTGCTTTTGCAAGACATTGGCGTCCGCGTCTGCTGCGCTTACCTTGTCTTGCTGCCTTTACCAAACGCCTTGATGCCGGCCATGGATGGCACTGCTCCAAGAACCGTACCCTTTGCCATTGCGTGCCAATTCGCCCCACTAGACCCTTCCTGCTGATCCGAGCTGAATATTTCCTCTCGCTAGCTTCTTGTTCCCGGCCAATTATCTTGCTTTGGCATTCACTGTCCCGCCGAGGCATCGTGGATCGGCTGCGGCCTATGCTCTGGGACATTCATCCAGCCCAGTCTAAATGACGCTTTCACGGCCGGCTCGAGCGGGAAAAGACCTCAGTGGACGTAATTTGATGCAGCTTCATCACCACCTGGGCGGGGTTACAAGCAGGAGCCGGCATGATGGGGTCAAGGCCATGCCCCGTTGCCCAGCATGCTCCCCGTCTCTCTGCCGCCAAAAGGTATAAAAGGAGGCCGTGATGCGGTTCAGCCAAGTTTCGTTTCTGATTCTCTTTCCTCCATCCATTTGCAGGCTCAACATCTTTACTCAATTACACCCATAACATCTTCGACCTTGAGTCAAACAAACCTCAGTCCACTCCTCACTTACTCAGCCACTAACCCATTCACCCCCAACATCATCATGGCTACACATGCCTTCTATCACTACCCCCAGGCCTCTTATCCTATCAACATGCCACAGAAGCCTGGCTACTACTATCCACCCCAGCACAGCTACGGACGCGTCTCAGCATCACCACCCGAGGCCCCGGATAGCGCCACCACTTCCGGCGTCCCGTCGTACGAACCATCAGCAACCTCTAGCAACTATGCTGGCAGTGCGAGCGATTACGAATCCACCAGCGGTGCCGCCAGCGTGGATCTTCTAGATTACATGGGCAACCGCCTGAACGGCTCATTTGATCCGGTGCCACTAGATCGTAGCCTGGCAAAGCAAGCGCAAACGTAAGTTCCGAACCCTTGAGCTTCTGATCTCGATCGCTCAAGAGGAGCTACGACATCAAAACTAACTTGCACGCAGATCCGGCGAATTGAACGCCAAACACCGCGAACTCCTCGAATTGCAAGCACTCGCCCAGCGAAGATTGGCTGGTGCACGATCAAGCTTCGCGGATGGTATGAGAGCCGCAAAAGAAGTGCAGAAGGACCTGCAGTGGACGCAGAAACGCGTAGAGTAAGTTTTGATTGAACGAATAGCCACCAAAAATCCAGAGGCTAATCCACTTGTAGTTCACTGAACGAACGGGCAGCACGCAAATATCCCGAGCAATACCAGTCTGCCCAGCGACGGTACCCAGCTCCTATCGACTACTAATGCTCAACGCCGTCAAACCCGCCTAACGGCATTGTGGATGATCACTATATATAAAAATCTCGGTCTTTCTCAAAATTCTGGGCGGTACACTTTCGCTTTACGATTCCCTGAACTAGTATCAAGTTTCCTACTGTCGCCATGCTTGCAGGATTCAATCATTCTCAAAGTCCGCTCTTACGATCTTGAACTGTCGTTCACGGTTTCCGCTCCACTCCGCTCCACCCTCGGCACATCGCCTCGCTGCTTTAGCGCCCACAAGCCAGCTTTCTTTTTCCAGCTATGTGACGCTTCGGCCCGCCGCCTGAAGCAGGCGCCGCGCGCTTGTAGGTGTCTAGCGAGCGAATAGCAGCTTTTATTGACGTCCAGGACTCGAAGCGTTGTGGCGGCAGGCGTAGCCCTTGGTCAGCGACTGAGTGCCAATGCGCGAGCTGGGTATCACTGAACTCCTGTGATTCGTCTGTAGGACGATGGGGCGTGGAATCGGAGATCTGGTCCTAGCACGTCGCGTGGTCTACATATCGTTTCCTCTGTTGTCCTCTTGGTTTGGGAACAGAATGGTTTGGGACTGGTGTTAAATTAGTAAGGGGTCTCGTGGCTGGTGACTTGCTGGTCCTTTGGTGTGGCTTTCTTGTACTTACCCATTTGTTGATATAACGGCCTATATTTTTGAGCACCGAAGTGACGGCTTCTTCTAGTGGAGTAGGTCTGTTCACGCGTAAATACTTCCGTAATGCAACTGTTCTAGCTCCACATTCACGTGGGATGCCAATAAAACCACTCGTGCTTGAACTTTGACTAAGCGTGCTGCTGTGATACCACCCTTATGCTGTGTTCCACAATCGGGTGCTAAAACGATGTCATGTGATCATTTGATCGGAACCTCGAACCCGCTTCAAGGTTTGAAATCAAGATTTTTCACTCACTGCGAAGTCGATGTAGTCAACTTACCCGTGCCGTGGAATATCAAGTACGACCGCAAAGTGCAGATACGAGAATATCATTCTTGACTAGGCATCGTGTTTGAAGCGAGTGAGTGAGACCAAGTACAACATTGACTCGGAATTAAGCATGGGGCAATTCAACAGTCTCTATCTGTGGTAAGCGAATCCAGGCAACCGAGTACACAGCATGCATTTAGAGTTTCAGGTAGCGAGATCAACGTGTGAGACGTACGTTTTCATAGGAAGATTTACTTCCAGCACAACACAACACGACACGACAGGAATTTGCTGCTGCATCTCCAATGTCCCTAGCAACCCCACCCACACCCATAGATGTACGTTGCATCCACGACAATCTTCCTATTCTCGCTTCCGTTTTCCCAACATCTCGGGTGTCGGAAGTCGTCGTCGCAGCCCAAGTGCGACTTTCGGGATACGGCGAGTGCACGCCGCGGAGCGAAGCGGTGAGTTCCTGTTGGTGTGTTTTCGTGGGACTACTTGGATGATCGTGGTAGTTCTGCAGCTAACACGGGCAAGGTGTGGGCCGGGGCGCGGGAACTGGGTGTCAATGTGAGGTTATTGAGATGCGGTCTGACATTGACAGATTGGTGGCGGGAACGGTGTGGGAGCGGAGAGCTGTGTAACATTGAGCGTCGGGATGTTTGCGAGCATCGGAAACGCTGTTGAGGCGGGGGTTCGCCTGATCTTTTTAGGCGCTTTGAATGCATTGCGTAGCACGTCGGGTTGAATTAACGTCGGCGATCATTGTTAGAGCTTGCATGGGGAAAAATTCGGCGGGATGGTGTTTGGAATAAGGTTACCCTGCGTGATTGCCACTGCAAGTAGCTATAGGCTGTGGTATCTTTGGGTGGCCGCTTCTCCCCCAATTCCAGTACATATTCTGACTCGGCTCTGAGTCTTTATTCCATCATTGCCTTGTGAGACTGCCTGCTTTAGGCGATAGCGTTTAGTTTATGAACCGTCAGACGGCACATCCACTTAGGCAAACCCAACCTCAAATGCTCCCCGAGCGCAGCTGGTAGGTACCTGTAGTAGATACATAGCAATTGTTAGAAATTTCGTGAGTAATTCGCAGGCCTCTGGTAGCAATGCTGGCTGTGGTACGTTCTTCTGTCACCAATTAGCTAAGCAAAGGGCGATTCAAGCTGAGAGCATACCTTCAGGTGCCATCGCTATTCTTGAGTCTCTCCCATGGATCCTCAACGAAGCTTGGGAGGAAATAAGCCGTGTCTCCATTCTCGGTTTGGACACCAAATCGCAGTGCATTCAGCTCCGCCCTTGAGATGGAAGGTCCACCGAATGAGACCATGTCCGTGGCTGATGAATCATGTTGAAGCGGCGTCATGATAGTATTTTGGGCAACAGGAGGCCTATCTGGAAGTGTCTGGGCACGAGCTAGAAAAGCGGCGAGACCTGGGGTTGCTGCTGCCTCTTGAGTGGTCTTCGCAATGGAAACAGGTGGATGCGATTGGGATTGCGCCGCTTGTTCCGTGATTGAGTCTTCGAAGGTCTCCTCTCCAGAATTTGCCATCTTTTTCGTCCTCATTCCTAGTTTGGTAGTGTTGGCGCCGCTTGACTCAACCTTGGCTTTGGGTGAGTTCGTGTGATCGAATTTCCTCTTCTTAGTGCCGCCAAAGGACGCGAAGCCCATGGCAGCTGCGATGTCGAGGTCTTCTTCTTCCTCCATGAAAAATGATTTTGAGCAATTCGTCTCGTGGGTTGCTTTATAGAGATATTCAATGTCGTTGATACGAGCAATTGAGGTATTCGAGGATGAGACACAGTAAAGTTATGTAAGCCAACGCTAACGGCTCAGAAACCAATCAACGGGTAAAATTACGTACATGGAGTGTCGTATTCCCTACGTCTGCGGACTTCTTACCTCATACGCTTCGTAGAGACGTCTGCTTGCTTGCTGTCTTCGCAATGACCAAATCTTCACATCACCACCTTCAGCCAATCTATAGCGACCCTCAAGCCTGTGATCAGGATGAGAGTTCCACGAATGTGGCTGAAGCTTGGCCCTAGCGCGCCCCATGTCATCACTTGCGGCGCATGTGCAGGGTTCACGACCGTGAGACCTTGAAGGGACGCTTCCGTGGCGCGTCGATCATCCTCACCTCGCCATGTCCTAGGTCGTCAACTAGATTCCGCTATCGTCGAGTACCTCACGATGAGTATTGACTCTCCGCAGACTCCGGCGGAGCGCCGCTTTCTGCGGCCTAGCGTAAGCCTGGCCCTCGAGCAGTGTATGTAGAATAGAGCTTACAATGAACCACAGCTACGGTCGGCAACAATGATACAGCCCAAGACTGGCGAGCGTGTCAAGAGAACCTTTACGCTACGGAGATCCTCCGCCCACCGCGCGACCGAATCTTCCGAGTTCCTACTTGCGCCCGGCCACTTTGATCCTGAACGACACCAGGAGTTGGGAAGGGTTGGATGGCTCATGGATAGCTGCAAGTACAGATGCCGACAAGTCTACGCATACACTAGCAGTCCGACTGGCATCGGTATACTCAAGTGCTCAATGGCTTATATACTTGGGTCACTGGCCACATTTGTTCCACAGATTGCTGGGCTGTTAGGCAAAAATGATGGAAAGCATATTGTGGCTACCGTTACTGTATACTTCCATCCAGCACGGTCAGCCGGCAGCATGATCGAGGCAGTGATATTGGCTTTCGCTGCGTTCCTCTATGCGGCCTTCATCTCGTTCTCTTCTATGGGTGTATCCGCATATTTTGGGAACCATCACCTACTAGTCCTTGGACATGTAATAGTGCTCATTGTCTTCTGCGGCGGCGGCCTGGGACTTGTGGGATGGACGAAACACAAGCTTGGGAGCCCACTCGTCAACGTGGCCTGCTCACTGACTTCGCTGGCGCTAATTACGGTACTGACTAAGGAGGGGGCCGTCCAGGCTGCTATGTTCTCATACAACAAAGTCTGGCAGGTTTTGAAGATGATCATCATGGGCTGTACAGCATCGGCAGCCGTCTCACTTCTAGTGCGGCCAACGTCGGCGCGAAATGAGTTCCGCAATACTTTCATCCAGTCGACTGATGCGATGGCTGAAATCCTTAATGGTATCACGCGTAGCTTCCTCTCGGGGGCTGAGCAAGATCTCAAGAGCGACTCATTTGTCAAGGCCTCAAACGAGAGCAAGTCGACGTTCAAAACACTCGTTAAAAACTTAGCAGAAGCAAAGTTTGAGCACTATGCTCTTGGTACCGAGGAAGAGTACAAGATCAACTCACGGCTCGTCAAGTGCCTTGAAAAACTTATGCAAAGCATTGGTGGATTACGGAGCGCTGCAGAGACGCAATTCACGCTACTTGCTCAATCGAACACGAACATAACACCATCGGAAAACGTACCTGGCAATGGCACCGTCACTTCATCCGTTTTCTCCGAACACACAATATCCCAAAGCCCTCCACAACTTCTCTCTCCATCTCTCAGTCATATGGAGAGGCGGACTAGTATCCTTGCCTCCATTGATGAGGTGCCAGAGGGTTCTGCTGAGGCATCCGCGTACGCTTCGGCAGACGTGTCTGATGACGAAAGCAGCCAGCATCACGACAGTTCTCACAAAGTTCCGAACTTTTTGCAGTCTAGTCTTACACCTGCTGATATGTTCTCCGTTTTTATTGCCCATTTGGGTCCACCGATGGTAAGACCAAAACATCTACATCCAAGCAATGTACTAAAGATGCTAGAAATCTCTCGCTTACACTCTTCGTGAGGTGCTCTCTGAGCTCCCATTTGGGCCTGGACCTGAATACCACATGGCTATAAACGAGCACTTCCGTCACAGCCTTGTTGACGCGAAGGTTCTGTTTGCAAATGCTAGGGGAGAGGCTCTTTCTGCCGTTTACATGAACAAGATACCGACGAGGACCAGCTCCGCCGCCGTGGCAGCTGATTTCGAAGAGGTCGCAGCAAGTTGCGGTTATTTCAGCTCATCGTTGCAAGATTTTGCCGAGGACATGGTGTCCTTCTTAGATATCCTTGAGGAGTTGAAGACAAATGTGAACCATTACCCGCGGCGAAGGACTTACACCTGGTTAAAGTTCTGGCAAAGTGGGCACAAGAAGAGGCAATCAGTTGATGATGCTGGTAGGTGTAGCTCCTTAAGCCCCATTCCTCATATTGACGATTATTAGAGGAAGGAAGCTTTAACGACGAAGGTGCAAACCAAACACCCGGTGGCTCGCATGAGATTCATAATCCCATTTATCGAAGATCCACTCGCGGCGATCCGTACAAGCCTGAAAATGAACAGCCGCTATCATACCGCGTCTGGGTGTCTTTGGCAGCTTTCAGGAGAGATGATCTGAAGTATGCTGTGAAGGTCGGCATTGGCGCTGTCCTCTATGCTATGTGGTCCTTCATAGAGCCAACGCGGGAACTCTATGGTCATTGGCGTGGCGAGTGGGGTCTTTTGTCTTACATGTTGGTGTGCTCCATGGTACGTATACAACTGGACGTTGCTCGCCGGTTCGATTGCTAACGTCCTATCTTAGACCATAGGTGCTTCTAACACGACTGGATTTCATCGATTCGCTGGTACTTGTCTCGGCGCCATATTTGCGATTGCTGCTTGGATTGCAGCCGACGAACATGCCTTCGTACTCGGCTTCTTTGGCTGGCTCGTATCCCTCTTCTGCTTTTACATCATCGTTGGCCAGGGCAAGGGGCCCATGGGACGATTCATACTACTGACGTACAACCTCTCCGCACTTTACGCCTACTCACTGTCCGTCAAAGACGATGAAGATGATGACGATGAAGGCGGCGTATCACCTGAGATCTGGGAAATTGTGTTGCATCGTGTCGTTGCTGTCATGGTCGGTTGTCTTTGGGGCATCCTCGTGACAAGAGTCATCTGGCCTATCTCAGCGCGTCGCAAAGTTAGGAAAGGAACATCCTTATTGTGGCTCAAAATGGGCCTCATTTGGAAGCGCGGCCCTCTCAAAACCTTGATGGAGTCAGACCAAAGCAATGCGGGCCGGATGTACTCGTACATGACCGAGCGCGAGGAGCTCGAGCTTCGGCGCTTCCTGAATCACTTGGAGACACTACGTGCCTCGGCTGCAGCAGAATTCGAGCTCAGAGGTCCCTTCCCAGATAAGAGCTTCAAGCTTATTTTGGGCGCGACGAGTCGTATATTGGACAGCTTCCACGCTATGAATGTAATCATCTTGAAAGATCTAAGGGCGACTGAGGGCGAGAAGGAGGTTCTGAAGTATACGAAGAAGGAATGGACAGAGCTGAGTTGGCGAATTAGTCACTTATTTTCTGGCAAGTCGCAATCACCCATCCGACAATGGCACTATGCTAACAATCCGTAGTTATGGCATCCTCTATGAAGCTAGCCTACCCGCTCAACGACGTCTTGCCAAACGTCGAACACACGAGAGATCGATTGTTAGCAAAGGTGTTTGAGTTCAGGCAGACCGGGCTTGGAAAAGTCATTGCCAAGGACGAAGATTACGAGTTACTGTACGCTTACGGTGAGTCACAAAACATTCTCATCTCATTGAATTAAGCAAGACACTAACATCAGTGTAGCTTTGGTGTCTGGGCAGTTGGCGCATGATCTTGGAATCATCGGACAAGAAATTGAGAAGCTATATGGCGTTCTTAGCGAGGAGGACCTAAAATTGCAGTAGAAGGTGAGTAAGAAGCTATAATAAACATCCGTGACTTCCCATCTACCATAATAAACCGTTCATGCCTGTGTTTACTGAATGTTTTGTGTCAATTGCGTAACTTGGGCGCATGTTTTGCCACACATTAGCCCGCGGTGCCTCTCGAGACGAGGGGTTTAGCCTGCGATGATCTCGAATGACTCACACTGAGACATCACATCGCAGCAAGATAGTGCTGCCGGTCACAAGATGATGAATTGTTTTACCAGCGATGCTATGAAATGCAGCAGTACAGTGCGGTTCTTTTTGCTGCAGCTCATTGACGTGCAGAGTTGCAGCGTGGGTTCAATCAAGTGTCCAGGTGGCACTAAAAGACGAACAAAAACAGTCCACGATACAATGCGACATAGGCTGCGTAAATGCGTATACCGATGAATCCCAAAGATTGTATCGAAATTCAGATGTCACGGGCGCGATGGTGTTGCGGAAGAACTGGGGTTGCTCGCACTAGCCCTAATCAGGACTAACGGCTTGGCCATCGCTTACGATCGCACCTGCACCTTCTGATTTTCAACACTCGTCAACGGTAAGTCACGACAACCACCCACGACCACGGACGACAACAACATCGAAAATGTAAGACATACCGGTTGCATGCACTCCAGCCCCTCGTCGAAGAGCAATCCCGCATCGTCAGCAACCTCCCCGACTTGCGGTCGTGCTCGAAAGCGACTCGAGACGTGGCGAGCCCCTCCTTGTCCGATATCTTATCCCGACGCCCACAACCTCACGTTTGATCAAAAATACTGACAACTACCGTCTCGCAGGGTCAATCTCCGTACACAGAAGCGCCTCGCGGCCTCCGTGGTCGGCTGCGGAAAGCGCAAGATTTGGCTTGACCCCAACGAGGTCAGCGAAATCGCCAACGCCAACTCCCGCCAGACCATCCGCAAGCTCGTCCAGGATGGCCTCATCATCCGCAAGCCCGTCACCATGCACTCGCGTGCCCGTGCCCGAGCCCTGACTGCCGCCCGACGAATTGGCAGACACCGTGGTTTCGGTAAGAGGAAGGGTACTGCCGATGCTCGTATGCCTAGGTACGCAATCACGACACCATCCCCACAATAGCGATGGAGAAGAAGCCATAACGGAATGTGGTTGGTTGATGTTCTGAGAACGTTCGCTAATTGATTCCATAGCCAAATCCTTTGGATGCGCCGCCTCCGAGTCCTCCGCCGTCTCCTCGTCAAGTACCGTGCCGCAGGAAAGATCGACAAGCACCTCTACCACGAGCTCTACCATCTCTCCAAGGGTAACACCTTCAAGCACAAGCGTGCTCTCGTTGAACACGTACGTTGGCCATGACATCATTATATGAAACCTAGCTCGTAGTTTGTAACTAACATGCATCGCAGATCCACAAGGCCAAGGCCGAGAAGGCTCGCGAGAGGGTCATCAAGGAGGAGATGGACGCCAAGCGTGCGAAGACCAAGGCGGCGAGGGAGAGGAGGCAGGAGCGTGTGGAGCAGAAGCGTGTTGCACAGCTCGGCGACGAGGAGTAGGGAATGGATGGCATGACAAACGTCTGGCGTGGATCTTTTCAAGGTTAAAGGAGGGCGTCAATCTCCTTTCTATCTGGGCACATTATGCGGTCATGTTTCATGTACGTCTGTGAAAGACTCTTCTCTCATGCATACTCGACCGACGGCTGCCCTCTATGAACAGTTCGATGCTGTGAATGTCCACTGAAACAGGGATATAGACGCATCGGTATGGTAGAAACGAGTAGTCTATCTTGCAACTGGTCTGTTTCTACTTCTGGTAATGAAGTGCACTACGTGATGATGAACATGAATTGACGCTACTGCACAAGCTGCATACTACAATTGAGCTCCCTCATTGATGAATCTTCATGTACACAGGTCGCCGCTTGACAAATACGCCGTAGCCCATGATGCCAGCCGTCCATGGGTATCGAAAAACCGTAAACGCCATATCCCAACTCCTTACGACCACGGATTCCAATCATGATGGCGGCTTTCAAATCTACTTGAGGTCAGCACTCACTCTCTTGTATCTCGATGATTTATCCAACTCACCAATTTCAGCGCCGCCCGATGCACATTCCTCGTGAAGTTCAACATGGCCCTACTCTTATTCCCACCCCTCTGCAGCCTCCTATACCCCTCCTGCACATGACTCGGCTGCACCGGCTCCCTCGCCTCCTCGGGCGGATCAAACAGGCCCCTCTCCCGCTTCCTCTTCAAACGATTCTGCTCTCCGCCGTGATTTTTTTTGTACAGATCCTCTGCATCCTTGACTTTCAACGCCTCTTCCGTGAGTGTCTGCACGATTTCAAAGGTTAGGAAGCCGAGGATATCGATGATGTCGTCAGAGGGCTTGGAGTCAGTGATGAGGCCGAAGCCAGCCCATTCCTTAAACCGCTTGCCTTTACGGTAGGTGAATGAGGCTTGGCGGCAATCAGACCAGTGGACGTATTCCTCACGCGTCATGTTCTTTGTACGTTCGTCTGCGTTTTTCAGGCGTTTTAGAGTTGCGTAGTTCATTTCTTCTTCCTCTTCGTCCTCGACATCATCCATCAAGGGAGGGAACTCGGAGAAGAACGAGTGCACGTCCCAGACTAGGTCGACTTTGGCGCGTTTGGCTTTCTTGCCAGCGTCGGGTCCGCCTGAGGGGCCTGATCCTGCTCCTACTACTCCGGCAGCAATGTCGGCGTCACCAGCACCTACATCAGCGCCGGCGTCTCCTCCCTTGTCGTCGCTGTCTTTTACGGAGCGGCGGACGTCTTTCCACTGCAGGAAATGCCGTAAGCGCGAGATCTTTGCACGATCGTGTCGAATGAGCATGAACAGATCGTCTGTGGAAATTGATTTGCTACCACGACGGGTGGCGAGGGCAGTGCATTCGCGGAGCATGTGTTGCACCTGGTCTTGCACGATGGATTCTATGAGAGTCGTGGTTTCGGGGGAGGGTTCGCCAGTCTCGCCGGACACGAACATCATCTGCGGGATTGTAAGGTCAAGTCCAATGTCAAATGGTAACAGTTGCTCCGGCGATGAGGAGCGAGACCGAGGTGGCGACAACGGTTTTGAAAATACCATTATGGCCGAGCAGTATGAAGGTAGATTTGAAAAGATGCCGGGTGTGTGATTGAGGAAATAGGTTGGTAGGACAGAATGAGCAATGGGCAACTTGTGCAAAAGCTTTTGGGGAGAAGCTCGGATGTTGACAATACTCAGGTAAACAGATGATAAGGTGAAGGTGAAGGAGAGTACAGCCACGAGATTGCTGATATATGTAAAAGAGGGGACTATGCTGGGAATGAAGGTATTGAGCCAACAGCTGGTGTACGCTGAGAGTTTCGAACAAGACATGGATGTCCAAACCATAATGAAAGTGAACCTGCTGAAAGCGACAGGTCGAATCTTAAAGACTTGCATATGCAGGTCGTCGCCGAAGAGGAAACGGATGCAATGATCGGACCATCGTAGACGCAGAGGAAAACCATCCACATTAAAAGATCTTCATATCCTTCTCTTTTGAATGCGTTAATTGAAAGAATGAGATTTAGAAGAAACCGATGTGAAGGAAACGTGACAGCTACTCACCTGCTGGATCTCCGTCCGGTACTTCGCCATCTTGTCTTTGTCCGCCATGATGCTCTACTTCGTCTTCGTACAACAACACCCCCTGTAGTTCCTCTATGGCGTCGTGGTCCTATTCGTACAGTTGTTTTCGTGCTGGGGGGAATAGAGAAGAAAAGGCGTTGATGTTCGCGATGGGCGTGAACAATAGCCTGACTGGCGCGCTCACTAGCGCGCGTTCGAGACGCCTGCTACTTCCTTGGCTCTTCAGACCCGCCCTACCAAAGAGTCCGCCCCACCAATTATTTTGTGAATTTCCCCAAGTCCCCCGCACCAATACAACCACATCTTCACTGCTCACGCACAATTTCACAGCAAACATGCTGTACCTCGTGGGACTTGGTCTAGCGGATGAGAAGGACATTACGGTCAAAGGCTTGGAGATTGTGAAGAAGGCCGAGCGCGTATATCTCGAAGCATACACGGCGGTTTTGCTCGTGGAGAAGGATGTACTTGTGAGTCGCAATATGAATTCGCAATGTATAATCGCGATACTAATTGTCACCATAGTAGGAAGCCTTCTATGGCCGCGAAGTCATCATAGCCGACCGTGAAATGGTCGAATCAGCCAGCGACGACATACTCAAAGATGCCAACAAAGTTGATGTCGCATTCCTGGTCGTAGGAGACCCATTTGGGTATGTGCCCTCCCTCCACGTCCTTTATCATGTCTCTAATGGTACAATAGAGCGACAACACACACCGACCTCGTCCTCCGCGCCCGCGAGCTTTCCATCCCTACGCGCTCTATCCCCAACGCCAGCATCCTGACCTCAATCGGCACAACCGGTCTACAACTCTACAACTTCGGGCAAACTGTGTCCATGGTCTTCTTCCTTGACAACTGGAAGCCTGCCTCCTTCTACGACCGTATCAAAGAGAACGTATCCATCGGCTTGCACACGCTCGTCCTGCTCGATATCAAGGTCAAGGAGCAGAGCTTAGAGAATATGGCGAGAGGACGCAAGATCTATGAGCCACCGCGGTATATGACAGTCGCGCAGTGTGCGCAGCAGATGCTCGAGATCGAAGCAGATGTCAAGCAGGAGGGCGTGTATACAAGGGACAGTCTCGCGGTGGGTGTCGCAAGGGTGGGCGCCGAGGATCAAGGGATTGTTGCAGGCACATTAGCACAGCTATGTGATGCTGACCTAGGGAAGCCGCTGCATAGTCTGGTGCTGTTGGGAAGCAGGACGCACGATCTTGAGCGGGATTTCCTCGAAGAGTTTGCCGTGGATAAGGAGAGTTTCAGGGCGGTGTGGAAGAGAGACTATGAAGGGAAGGCATGAGTGCAGAAGCGCTTTCTGAATGCGACTCAAGCTGATTGTTGGGCACCTGAATGCTCAAGCAGCTGTTTAGTACGGCTAGCTAGCGTCGTTGCGTTTACGGCCCCGCGCCGCAACAAATTAGAGGCAAATAATTCTCTCCATCCAAAGTGTCACATGAATGCCAAGCACGGATGGTCCGTGCTGGGTTATCTATATCATTCACTCAGCTGTTAGTTTAGATCGAACCTTACAATACATGCATCACACCCCCATACTTCCTACAAAAGGCATATCTTCGCAAGCTTATTCCTCTTCTTCTTGCTCGTTTTGGGTCAACAACCTGCATTACGTTCGCAAATAATGCATGTCCGACCGCGGCGCACAGGGACAATTTGCCCATTCTTCGAAACATAACGACAATCTCCAAATAGAATGATGGGACTGAGTTTGCGACCCTTGGTTGCTTGATTGACAAACGATTCTATACATTAATGGGCGTATGAAGAGCATGGACTTCTAGCTCCTAAGCCCTTTTCACTCTTTAACACTGGATTTTTTGATTTTTTTTCATCTTGCATCAAGTCGCTGCACTATACGCTCGTCATCGCGGGAAGCAGCAGGTAACAAGATCATCGAACGTTTTGCGCATTGAAGCTACACACCTTATCATCCAACGCAAGCAGACGCGCACAACAACCATGGAGGAGACGACATCTACAACCGAATTATCTGATTCTGATAATATCCCGCGGCTTAGCGAGGCGCTCGCAGACCCCGAGCTAGAGTTGGTATATCGCGAGGCGAAACTTCAGTTTGAGAGTTTCCTCTGCGATCACACTGCCCTGGGCGAAAGAGTAGATCTGATGTTGCACTATCGAAATCTATTCGAAGCTGCAACCCATCATTTGGGAGAGGACTACCAACTCATGCTTCTCCATCTATGCTTTGGCTACAAAAGGCAACGAACTATCGTAATGTTTCTGGATTACCTGGACGAAAAGGCTTTTACATGGGCGAGCACGTTGAAAACAGTTGTCAAAGAAAGAGGGAGAGATTCACTCTTCGATGAGCTCGCGGCGAAGGAGAAAGAACTTGAGCAACAGGTCTCTCAGCCACAAACGCGAGGGCAATCAGTGGCTGAACGAGACATTACTACCGAAGCGACACCAAAGAAGCAACAAGGCCCTTACTTCGTTATCCCAACACTCTGTCTAGCATACCCAGCCGACTTCTGCACTGCTTTTGCATCCCAAGCGCCTATTGAACGACTTACTGTTCCGAATCTCCTCGCCTGTCCGGCTATGCTACTCATCGATTTCTCTCCCCTGACCAAGAACAAACTCCGCGCCGAGCTTCTTAATGAAGAGAAGTTGATTGCTGAAGTAAAACAGAGAGAGTCATGGGTATCCTTCTTTGATCACTTACTTAAAGGACAGGAAAGACTTCTTGACCATTACTTCAGACGTCCGGCTCTAAAAGAAGAAAGTGCATATGAAGAGGAAGATTTGGATATGTGGCTTATGAAATGGTTGGGGAATAGGCAGATGAGCGGGCTGAAGGAGAAAGGGGAGCAGGTGGAGAAGGGGGTGAAAAAGAGGTCAAGTGGCAGAGTCGCAAAGAGAAATGGCACCACGGCAGGATCTGATAAAGAAGTCCAGGTGACAGCAGATGCGGTGCAAGTAGAGCAAACGATTGGCGTAGTTGAAGACGCCGGAAAACGCAGGAAGAGAGTGAACTGGCCTGCTGACGAAGAGTTGGAAAGCAGCAAGGATTTCCATTGACAGCGAGAGAGAAGAAGAAAGCACGGGAGAAGGGGAATTGATGAGGGCTAATTGCCGTAGCACGATCACAATTTGGTTCACCGTCTCCACAATGCCTTCAAGACAAGTTGCCCAACTCTCCTCCCACGAAACCTAGTACCCGTTGTTATTGCGGATAAGACCAAGAAGTCGACCTGATCTTGATCTAGCCAGGCAAATCTAGAAAATGATAAGATCAAACAATCAACCAATCGTTCAATGCGAATCACCATCGACCAAGACAGTGCTATCGCTAACCTTCTTGTCCTCCGCCAAACTGTCCCCCTCCCCCTCGACCTCACTCGGCTGCACAACCTGTCTCCCTTTCCACACTCTCATCAAATGATCCATCCTCTTCCTCATCCCATACTGCATCCAAAGCGGGAATCCTCTAACCCTCGGCGCAAAAGCCCACGCCGCCTCAGGCAACGTCAAATGCTTCGACTTCCCGCTCAGAACCGCCTTGACGATTTCCTCGGCAACCGTCTCCGGGAACAGAGCCCTGCCGCCGAAGCCTTCGAATAGCGCGGTGCGCGTGTAGCCCTGGCACATGAGCACAGTGCGCACTTTGGGCGCTTTATAGTGCGTGATGAGCTCCGCGGCGAGGCCTTCATGGAAAGATACTGCTGCGGATTTGGATGCAGCGTAGTCGACTAGTGAGGAGGCTGTGATGTATCCCGCTAGAGAAGCCACCGTGACTACCATGCCGTGGTTTTTCTCTACCATGGAAGGCAAGAATTCCTGCGCGAGGTAGTAGTGAGCAAAGGTGTTGACCTTGAACGTGAGGTTGATGTCCTTTTCGGTGGTGTCGAGTATGGTTTTTCCGCGCGCGACGCCGGCGTTGTTGATTAGCACAGTGGGATTTCCAAGGGACGAGCGGATAGAAGATGCGGCGCTTGCGATGGAGGAAGGCGAAGAAAGATCGCATTTGAAGAAGTGGACCGACGGCGGTGCTATAGTATGTCAGTAGCTAATTTTCATCAAGTTTTTTTTCTCGATTCTTTGAATCCAAGACACGGTCAGACATACCTTCGTAAGTCAATTCCTGCACGTCCAACACGGCAACCTTAATCCCCTTCTCGGCCAACAACCTCACCACAATCTTGCCAATACCATCACTGCCCCCCGTCACAACAACCACCTCGCGACTCCATACGTACACATCATTTGTCCAATTGTTTGTGACCGCGTCGTTCAGCCAGGAGTTGATACTACTGAGCAATCCAAGTCCCAGCAGCTTCTTCAGGCACTTGAATGCCGTGCCATGCTGTTCGGAGAGAATGTTACCGCTCGTCGTGTATTTTGCGGCGAGTAGGAGAGGGAGCGTGATGACTGGGTTGAGCACGGTAAGTTTGAGCAAGCGGGCGATAGTATCGCCAGTCACGCCTATCCTCTACGTTAGCTATATTTTTACTCCATCATACGGTGTGTATCCCCTGGCTATTATAGCCACGGGAGCTCAAGGTTACCTTCACGCGCAAGGGTCCATTCGCTTCGGATAGGCATCACGACGTCTTTGAAGCCAGATGTCTTAGGGGGCAGTAGAATTAATATACGGAGAATCTGCGCACCCAACAGCACCGTGCGCGCCAATCCCCCTAATCCAGGTCTAACTTGCTGGACGTGCGATGCGATACCCCAGGATGCGGGGTCACCGCCATCCCGCCCAGCAATAACCGAGGAACTATTTGAGCAACTCGCAAGGGAATAGTAGCAGGACCATACATCTTTTGGCGATGGTTGTGAATTCTGAAATGATCATGTTTTCTCGGACTGGAGTTGGGCGGCCGGGATGTATGTGACCTAGTACCTTGGACGTGCGACTGCCCGGTCCCATGAGGTGGATACCTCATAGAATGCTACTCAGGGGCCGGCCGAGAGCGGAAGCTAATCCTTCCCGCAAAGAGACTATTATCCTTCGCTATACTAATCCCACATTGGAACTAGGGACGAAGCGGCGGCGTTATACTTGTTAGTTTGAATGATCTCACCGAACAGAAAGGCATCAGATGTTCCGACGTTTGCTGGGCTACACTGGAGCATAATGGACTGGTAGAAAGACCGACCGCAGCTTAGCGACATTTCAAGAAGCACAAGTTGATATATAGCGATGCGCAAACATTTAAACGCTTAAACGGGTGAGTTCTTCTCACAATTAAATATACAACTGCAAATATGCATGCTACAAGCGATCCCCAATAAACAAAACTCCATCCAGTCCAATACGCAAGGAAATTCGTCAGGTATGCCATCCTTAACGCCATATGCAGAATCCACCCATGCTAATACAAAAACCGAAATGAGAATAAGTTAACTCCTTTTCCAAATGCCGCTATATCACATTGCTCCCAGCACCACTTAGATCCATGACCGAGCTCTCAGGCGCAACACTCGTCATGCGGCTCATACGGCTCGCTCTTGAGCTCGGGCGATCGATGGACATTGCTCCACTCATTACGCGTACCACCTTCTTCTTCTGTGGTTTTGCAATCAGGACCTGCGCAGGGCAGACTACTATCTCGTCCTCGCCTTCGCCAAAATCGTCGCCCTTCTTGACGACTAGTGGGAACAGTACGATCTTGACTATTGCTGCACGTGCTTCCAGTTCGTCATTGGATGTGGTCTCCCCAGACCGCTCGTTCATCAGGGAGGCGTTGAATGTTACTTTCGCGACTAGGTCGCCGTTGGTGTCATACTCTGGTTGTAGCGGTGGGAGCATGATGTATTCTGCGCGCTGTGTGCGCATTTCGATTGATAGTTCAACAGCTAAGCGCATTACGTTGCGCAAGGACTCCTGGATTTGTCGTTGTAGGTGGGATGGCGGCGAAAGAAGCGTGGAGAGAGTGCTGTAGATTTCATGGACAACAGCTTCAGTATCTTGGGCGCGCTGTTGCATGAAGGGCTCCCGCTTCGATAAAAGTGTAAGTGTAATCGCTCGCCATTGAGCCACGGCGCGAGTTGGACCTAGTGATGGGTTAGCTTTGGTTGGAATACCTGAGGATTCCTTGTACTTACCAACTTCTGACAAGGTCTTCTCTAGCGACTTGAGCTTCTGTCGCTGTTCTCTGTCCATACCGAAGAGGTATCTTGTAAAGACATACTCCCAGATCATCGTCATGACGACCGACATGAATACGTCTCGCCGCTTCACACGATCTGCTAGAAGCGAATCGACATCGGAGCCATCAAGAACGGCGTTGTCTAAGCGAGTGTCAATCTTCTGGCGCGTTGCAGTATCGAGCCTTGTATCAGCAGAGACCTCAGACGATAGACGACAAGGTCTGGTGTCCGAAAACTTGGAGAAGCGTAGCACCCATTGCTGGACATGCTGACAGAGTTGTTGGCATGCGCTGTCGAAGTAGTCCTCATCACGAATGGTGAGAAAGCTTTCGCCGGGTTTCTTGGACGCCAGGATCTGCTTCTGTAAGGTCTTGACCTGCTCCCGCGCGCTGGCTAGCTCTGTGTTCAAACGGCTGATTTCGGCATTACGGTCGTCGAGAGCAGCACCAATCTCGTCTCGAACCACATCCTCGACGCCTCTCGTCATCTGGGTGTGTTTTGTGCGAAGCTCTTCCAACTCCCTTTGCGATGATTGCCATTGTTGATGGACAAGTTGGCCTTCTGACTGAAGCTGGGCATATCGTTCGTTGGCATCATTGGTGAGGTTGCGGTTAGCCTCGGTGAGTGTGTTGTTGAGCACGGTTAGCCTCGCAATCTCTTCTTGCAGTCTCTGGAGCGTGTCCTTGAGCTGCGCAATGTCGATGTCTCTCTGGTGGATCTCACGATCACGTGCTTCTACCGCCTCGGCTACTAGCTGCTCGTCGACTTGGCGCTGGTGCTGTGCAGCCTGCAGGGTCGCCTCAGCCTTAGTCCTTGCATCTTCGAGCGACGTGTTTTGCGCAGCAAGCTGGTCCAGTTGCGATTGCAAGTCCATGATCTGCATGCTTTGACGTTTGCGCACGCTGGGTGGGCGCGTTGGTGACATTGGCGAGCCTTGTGCCTCGCCCCATGCTTCCTGCAAATCACGGTCAGCATTCCACGGAGCAATCGTCGCATCCACCTCGAGAGGACTTACATAAGTTTCGGCGGCCATGCTGGCCCGGCGACCCTTGCCTTCGCCTCGGACTGGATCGTATTTTGACGCGGCTGCGATGGCCGCGATGGCTGCTGTCGCTCCGGCCGCGAGCCCAATGCCTGAGAGCCCAGGTTGCGCGTTCTTAGCGTCTGGCGCACTGTCCTCGCCAAGCCTCGACGCTGCCCTCAGGTCACCTGATGCGCTGCGGTCTATCCGTCGCAGAGATTGCGAAGATCGATTGCTGGCTGAACTCAAAGACCGCTCTTGGTCTGGAGTCCGGAGTTTGGCAATGTTGCTCATGGAGCGCTCGCTACGGACACTAGGAGACCGCTGTTCCGCCATGTGTTGCTTGATCGGATCTGTGCTGGGAGAAGCGCGTGGCATTCGACGCGCAGGACTGAGTGTCATAGTCCGGTCGACGCTCTCGTGAACTTGATGCCATGGGTCCCTCGATGGCGTCTTCCTGCCACCAGATATATCAAGTGCGGCAGGCAAAGCCTTGCGGCCTGAGGGCGTTGGTGTGACTGGCGGAGGCGACTTCAAACGATCGGAGAATGGCCTCGGGCTTTCAGTCTGACGAGCTGACTTGACCCCTCGATCTGGCGCTCCTACGTCGGTGATCGGTCGTCCCTTTTTGAGTAGTGGAGAGTCGTCCGGACTAGACTCCTTGATAGTATCAAGCTGTTGATTGCTGGGCGTGCGGGCCTGCTGCCCTGAGGTTGGCGTTGAGAGCAGGGCAGTCTTCCCAGATTTCTTCTCACTCGGGTCGCCAAAAAGGGACTGATGTGGCTCCTTCTGCTTGACCTCCTTCGTAACCGAAATTTGGTCATGTTGCGACTGCTTGACTTGTCTTGAGAGATCACTGCTGTCCTTCGATGGAGTCTGCACTGTCTTGGGGGCGGGCGTTGTTGTCGCAACCGCTGGTGATGTACCGTATGCGCGCGTTGAAGGTGAAGAGTCGAACAGGTACGACGTTCGTTCTTTGGTCGCATAATCTGTCCCGGAGGGAGTTGATGCACCAGTGAAGGTTGCGTATTCTGGAAGCGACGGGCTACTTTCCACATCTTGATACTCTTCAAGCGACCGCGCAGACTCCTTGAGTGGTGTCTTCGGATCCTTCGATCGTCGCTTCTTTTCCCGTGTTGATGTCTCTGCAAGCTTGAATTGATCCTGTTGAACTACGGGGCTGACACCCGTGTCGTGGTAGCCACTGTCGCGTGTGCTCTCTGGGAATTGCTGGGTGGGAGCTTGGACCGGAGAGTCTGACACGTGCACTCCGCTATCCCGGACCCCACCAAAGGACCACGTCGGTTCGATGGCTGTGGATGATGCTTCGGGCGCGTTCGCCATTGGAACATCGAGTGCTGAGCGTTCTGTTGCACTTGGAATTTGTGGTAGCGATGCCGTTTCTTGCGCCATGACTGGAAGATCTGAAGGAGTCTCTACAATGTGCAAACGCTTCCCGTCAGGTTGCTCCTCGGCAAAGGATACTGGGTGCGTTCGTCGTTTATGCGGCTGGTCTTCGACTACGACTCTTGATTGATCCTGCGGTAGCAGCTCCCTTTCGCGGCTTTCGTTGGCTAGTCCCGCTTGTTGTTCATTTGAGTCGAACCCGACCTCGAGCTTTTCTTTTCCCTTCCTACTCTTCTTGACTTTCTCTTGAACCGGTGAGGTCCATTTGTCCGTTTCCATCTCTTTCTCTTTGCGATCTCTTCCTGTCTCTTCGATTGGTTGTTGTGAAGCCTGTTCCGGCACTGCCACTTGCGGAAAGGGGTATTCGTTGCCTTCGTTACCAGTTATCGACCTCGGCCCTTGGTTGAATGTTGCAGGTTGATTCAAAGCATCCTCTTCAATCACCGCCTTATCGCTCTTGCCCACCTTCACAGCCTTGTCCTTCGTTGTTTTCTTACCCTTCTTCTTTGATGGGTTGTCCCAGATATCGTCAGTCGTCTCCGCTACCTGCCTTTTTGTTTTAGTTTTTGTTTGGCTTTCTAGCGGATCCAAGGTGTCCGTTGGTAGAGAAGCTGGAGGCAAGGACGTCTCGAGCTCAACTTCGCGGATTGTGGAGGAGGCCGGAGTCTCAACAGCAAGAGGCAACTCTGTGAGAGCCTCGATCGCCGGAGTCTCAGAAGCCGTGTACTCAACACTCTCCTGCGCAAGCAAAGCTTGTTTCTTGTCCTTCTTTGACTTTTTACCTCTCTTCAATGTCGTAGCGGACCATGGATCATCCGCCTCTTCTATAGGCGTGGCTTGCGGGCCCTCTACTGGCGCAGTACGTGCTTCAGCAGGTATGATGGCGGTAGTCTTAACCTCATGAGGGACTTCTGCCTCGGATTCTAGATCTTTACCCGTGTAGACTGTTGGGTCGTCCTGGAGGATGGTTGAAGTGGGTGCGTTAACTTTGGTTTCAACTGACGTCTCTGGAAGAGATGTACGCTTCTTCTTCCCCTTTGTCTTCTTCGTCTTGGAAGCCGAATAAAGTTCCTCGGGATCAGCCTCCTCAAGTACACCAGGAGGTGTCTTCCGTCTCGAGAAAGTCGGGTCATTGAGGACATCTAGTGGGTCGAAAGATGCGACGTCTGTTGCTGCTATGGCAACCTCAATAGGTGGTAGGACCTCAGATTCGACGTTCTTGGTAGGTTGTAACTTGGGTGAACCCGAGAATGAGGAAGAGCGGCTGAGGCTACCAAGCCTTGAAGTACTTGCTTTCTTCCTTGCAGCGGCTATCTCTTCCTCGGGGGCAATGTCACGAACACCCTGTGCAGAGGAAGAACGATGAAACGAGGGGTCGTTGATAGCGTAGCTAGGGTCGAAGCCTGACTCTTTCAAACTAGCCGCAACTGTCGCTGCAAAGCCAAAGTCCTGCTCGGGAGATCTTGAGTGATGTTGGTCGTCAGATTGGACACGTGCTACAGTTCGCTTCTCGGCTGTTGGGGGCAGAATAGGTGTTACTGATCGGGATTGATGCTCGTACTGCTCGGCGAGGTTTTTGACGCTTCCGGTTCCTTCCTTGCGCAGGCCCCGCTCAGCTGCATGGCCCTCCTCAGAAGCACCACGCTCAAATAGGGCCGCTAGTTTGTGTTTCTTGGAGCTCTTCTTTGACAGCGTTGGCGGTAGAGGTGTTTCAGGAGTCTCGGTGGTTATTGGAAGGGCGGTAGAACGAGGAGTGTCGCTGGATTTGCTGGATTTGTGTGCGACACCGTCATCAGTACCTAGAGTCACAATATTGGGTTGTTCTTGCACTCTTTCAGTAACCTCATCAATCGTGGCTTGTGGCTCGGTCGGGATAGGATTTTCCTCTTTGAGAGGGGTAGCGACCTTTTTCGACTTGCTCTTCTCCTTTTTGGATTTTTTGGAAGGAACCTCGACTTCAAGCTCAGGCTCTGTTGCTGCCACCGGAATGTCCTCGACTACCTTCTGGCTTGGTATGGGATCAGGTTGGGTTGAGACTACATCTTGTGGTGTAGAGGTAGATTCATCCAGGATTGATTCGTCAATTCCAGTAGCTAGACCTTTGGACGTGCGTTTCTCTTTTTTGCTCTGCTTCGAAGGCATCGCCCATTCATCCTGTGTCGTAGCTTCAGGTTGATCGACCACCAACGGCTCCGGGATACTTGGCTCAATCATGTTGATCGGCTCTTCCTGTGGTGCAGTAGTGGCCTTTGACTTGCGCTTCTGCTTCTTGCCTTTCTTGGAGCTCGACCCCAACTCGGCTTCAGCTTCGTTGGTAGGCATATCGGTCGATAGAGGTTCACTAATGGCCCTTGATGGTGTCTCGATTGTCTGAGGCTTAGCGTCGAAAGATTCGTTACGGTCAATGTCTTCCAGGACTACGGCAAGGGGATCAGTTCGCATGGTTTCGCCGGATGTATCCGGGGTTGTTGTCGATACTTCCACAAGTGCATCAAACTCAACAGGGGTTTCGACGAGTTGAACGTCCTCCATTGTCTCCACATCTTCAGTCTTCTCGGGCTCAGTCCAATTGGAAGCCACTCCCTTCTTGCTCTTCTTGTCTTTCTTACTCTGTTTACGCGTCAAAGCAGGTACGTCGGGTGTTTGCACATCGTCGGCGGTAGGTATACTGTGCTCTTCCGTGATGCTGCTTTGTGTGTCCATTGCCGAAGACCGCTCCGCTTCCGTGATCAGCAATCCAGGATCGATGGTGGTAGACTTTGAATCGATAGTTGATCGCGGTGCTGCAGTAGAGTTAGGCTCCGCTTCTTCCGTCCTCGTGTTGAGATCAGTAGCGAAAGCAGTGGGAGCTGGAATGTTGGCGTCTCGATGATCAGGAGTAGAGATATGCTGTTGCTTGAGCTCTTCTGTAGACAAGCCTCGGACCATATTGGTAGCCTTTTCTTTGTTTGGTGCGACTGGTTCGATAATTGCTTCGTCTACGTATGAAGGAGGTGATGAATCGATCATGGCGACATCCGGAATTGTGGGGACTATGTCGTCCTTGATAGTCTCTTGAGTATCGAGCGTAGGCGTGGGATCAGTGACTGGCTCGTTATACTCGTCCGATACCAGATCAGTCTGCTTAGCTTTCTTCTTGTCTTTCTTGCTAAGCTTGCGTGATAAAGTAGGCGGCTCTTCGGAAAGCACATCTTCTTGCTCAGTGACCGGTAGCAATGTATCATCTCGAGTGTGTTCTTCGAACGTAGACGTTGGTACTGGTTCAATGGATTCCGGAAGTAATTCGTTTTGAGCGAGTGCAGCGCCCTTGGCCTGCTTCTTCTTGTCCTTTTTACTTGCCTTGCGTGATAATGTAGGGCGCTCGTCGAGAATCGTGTCTTGCGCTTCTGGGATATTGCTAGGCAGGGTCTCTTCAATGACAGGAGCGGCTTCCGGGGTCTCGTCAATGATAGGAGCGGCTTCCGGGGGGGTCTGTTCGACCACAGGCTCAGAGAGATCAGGGACTTCGTTGGAGGCCGTAGGTAGAACGATATCAGGCTGAGATATCGGATCGTCCTCCACTAGAGCACCTTGCTTGGCTTTCTTCTTACCCTTCTTGCTAAGCT